CCACCCCCGTAGTAGCAGTCGCCCAGTCACCCCGCAACACTCTCAGACCCAAACCCTCGCATGATCATCCTCCCCATCCTACCACGTACAAAGTCAACTCCTCGGACCCCAAAAAGCGACGAAAAGGCCACCCAACACCCTCTTTTCGCCTACGATCATACCACTTTGAGCGAAAACCATCATGCCAGATAAGGAAAAAGATCTCTTCCAGGCCTCCCCCCCCCCCCGCCTTCCCCTAGTCACCCGCGCCGCTCTCCGCACTCTCCCATTTCTGGCTCGATCATCACTCGTCAGGCCCTGCTCAAAAACATTGCTCCCCCCCCATTCTAACTTACCCACTCTCCCAGTTTCGGAAACCAACCCCCATGTGACCTGTATTGGTTTCGCCAACTAAATGTCTTGCGCCTAAATTGGAGCGTTTTTGTTGGAAGGGGGGAGGGGCCCAAACGCCAAAAGGGTACTTGAGTTGGCTTGTTTTGAACTACTGATTATAGTGTTATGGTCTGCACGAACTCAGTTATAGCCCTATATCACGCTGGGTTCTAAGAGCAGCATCGTTCGACTTTTTTGGGGGTGGAGAGGTCAGGTGGTGTCGTGCCCGGTTTAGGCTGCCGACATAGTGTGTGTTTGGTTTTTTATTTTGTCCAAGTGGGTTTTGCCCTGTATGGAAGGAGAAGATGTGCAGCTTGGTGTGCTGAGGTTGCAGTTGCGAGACGCAACGCACGTTTGGAAACAGCATAGCTGGGTTGCTCCATTGCGACATATAATCTTTTTTAACTTGTTTTGGGAAACTTTGCAGGCGTAGGAGTGATGTTGAGGCTGTCGTATAGTGTACATGTGCTCAACAAGATTGAGGAAGCGGCTGTTTGCCACAAGTCGGCGTCAAACTCTTGGGGCATCGCGCTTCTCCGGATTTTGCTTCAGTTGATCGCCGCAGCTAGTAGGGTCCTCTTACTGGGGAATACTGGTAAAGGTTCGTTGCTGATTGCCGCGCCGCTTTCATGATGTTCATCAGAGTCACGCCATCCGGCTAGGCACAACAATAGCATCCAGGATTCATGCCCTTTCGGAACGGAATGTAGACGAGTAATACGAGGCAATTTCACATCATCTCAAATCGAATCTCAAGCCATGGTAATTGTCATTGCAAAAGGGACACTTTTGTCGAGAATAGTGCCGGGTATATACTATGGTAATTGAGTGTCTTGGCGAAGCTGGGAAATATTTGCCGGAAACCCTGCAGCTGGCGTGTACCCCACATCCCAAGGACGGCATCACGACCCCATGGTTTTTTGTTGCTTGACTGCTGTACTGTACGAGAGTAGCCAAGGTCGAAGAAAAAGCCTAGCTTCGGAAGTCTTCTCGAAGACCCTGATTACGCATGGACGTCAGGGCCGATGTTCCACGAACCTGTTCTTTTATTGCAGATTTCCAAGGATGTTGTTTCAGGGGAGGGGTTGTCTCAGAGCAGCAGCTTGTATCCCCAAGTTGCAGTCGGTATGTGGAGATCCGCCTTAGCTGTGGAGGATGCATGTATCCACGCTTGCAGCTCACGCGCCCCTTACTCTCCACAACTCCAGCGTCTTTGGCGTAATAGCAGCGCCCTTATTGTCGAGTATAGTTTGGCGATGCTTGATATGCCCCCTCGAAGAATTTTTGCCAAGTGGGAGATGCCGTTCGTTATGCCCGATGGAGTCGCATCGGCACGATCTTCGTACCAACTCATCTGATGCATGTCGGCCAGACGGCCCCCTGATATTGCTAGGTAACAGTGGCTTGAAGCCGAGGAGTCGGTCCAACGGCTCATCTGATGCCCGCATGAGATCATTCACAACAAGGCAGCGATGCGCCACATCTGGATCTTGTGACGTTGTAAAAAGCAAAAAACGGACATCAACGCCCAGGAAAGAAAAAGGGAGAACCCGAGAACGAGAGCGAAGATGGTAGCGACGGGAATTTGCATCGGAGAGAGACAAGGTTCGTTAAATCGCCTAGCTGCATACGAAATTTGCAAGCCCCCTCGACAAACGTAGAGATCCAGCACGTCTGATCTAGTGCCTCACATGCTGTGGTGAATACGACCGGTCGAAAGGCTAGATGTGGGATGACAGACCGAGATATCCGGGTCTAAATCACGCAATTATGATGAAGACAAAAAACACTGACAGGTGGGGAGGCATGATTGGTCGAAAAAGAGGGTTTGATCGATAAAGAAAAAAAAACCAGTAAGTCAGGTATAGGTAATTGACGAGCATGCTGCATTAGCGACGGATGTGTGGCATCCAGAAGTTCGGAAAGAGGAGCAAGCGTCCTGCAGGTGCTAGGGTCGTGCCGCTATATTTCCTTGGTACTTGGGTGTACCTTGTCTGAGTGGTAGTGTTTAGTTGCATGTTGCGCTGGCCTTTTCCCAAACCAGTCGTGGTCCCCTGGCAGCGCAGATGTTGTGGTGGTGGCTTGGGGATGACAAAGCCACCAGGCGACATGGCTACGCAGAGTTGCTGCTTGTCACGATATCATGATTGCTTCAGGCCCAGGATGTCTCGGAGACATGTCCCACAAGGACATGGCGTAGCGGCTGGGGGATGGTCTGAGTTTAGCAGATCCAGCATGCGTATGCGGTGATGCCGAATGTGACGTGCGCGTTGCAAATATGTAGTAATAGTAAGTAGTTGGACACTTGGCAAGTTTGACCAGAGCTGCTCGACTTGCTCACTCGGGGGATGAAGGTTGGCAGTACAAGGCTGACATATGACACAGTCATCCAACGAGTAATGACGGACCGTCTTATGGTGTGCCAAGCAGAGTCCATACTGTTGTGCCACTGTTCGCTTTGTGCGGCTTGCAGCGTAAGCAGCCCTCGCTCGGGACGACCCTCCACAAAACGAAGGGCGAACGCCCTGGCCGGTGCACTGCAGTAATCTCCACTCGCCTTCGCCTACTCGAGCGCCACGCGGGAGGCTGTGCGGTGATTGGCTGCGCTCGAGTATCCCCATTACATGTCTGGAGTCGCTGCGTGTAGGCGTTCGCGGCTGACGCCCGCCTCGACTGTGCAGACATTCACTCGACCGGCTAAAAGGAAGAATGCTCAACACGGGCCAAAACGGTCATTCCACCCACCCTTTGCAACCCCTGCCCTTACTTACTCTACTGCAATCACCCTCGAGGCAATATCGAGTACCGAGATCTAGCAAATGACCGACGAAAGCGCACGATACCTCGAGGTACAACCGAGCTGCAGCCACTCAAACGGCGCCTCGACACCACCAAACCCCTACCTACCACGTTCCCCACATCCTGCGCGTCGATCGTCCCAGTCGCTTCCGCTAGCTGTATACCAAGAAAGGCCCTCTACTTACCTTTGGCGCCGCATCCATCTGTTGTATCCATCGACTAGTCCGCTGCATCCTGCCATCATAGCCACCATCGCAACATGTCTCTTTCTGGCCCTAGTCGGCGGAGCCTAGTCATCTCCCTGGGGCCCGTAGTCAAACAAGATCCTGCACATTGCAAGCCAGCCTCACGCCAGCCGCACGCCATGCCCGAGATCTAGAGCGCCCATGTCCGTAGCCCTCCCATATCCAACTTCTGCCTGTGCTAGCCCATATCGCCTCCCCCGTGACATGGGCACGACGTGAAAAAAAGGTAATTGACCCTTTTCTGACTGCAATGTTGCCAAGACCCAAGGGGAAAGTCTAGCCTAGGCTTGTCCCTCGCTCAAAAACCGGTTCTAGACAACCGCTTGCCGCGACGGGACGTGACGATCTGTAAGGACTCCACCCGCGCTGCTGCTCAAAGCCAGGCCGCCATTCCGAACCGTAGCTTACTTGGTCGAAACCCGAACGACCAGTCAACGCGCTTGCATGCTCACCGTATCCCGAGCCTTTGGCACCCACGTTGGCTGTCTAACGTCACCACACGGCAGACGCAGCCCACCCCCCTAATAGTATGTGGTCCACAGACTATACTCTTCTCGCAGTGTGTTGTTCTTCTCCGCGCAGGAAACGCGATTTCGTCACGGCACCCACAACCAAACCTTCCCCCTTTTTTTTTTACACTTTCATCTAACGAGATGAAAAAAGGCCCCCATCAAACAAGCCGAGACCTGAAAAATCAACCCTAAAATGTGGAGAGGTAGTATGTTGGGATGCGGCTTCTTGAATGAGCAAGACGCGGCTATGATGCATGCGGATGATGTATTGGCGAGATTGATTCGGCATTGCACGTACATGGCACTACCGTAAGGCACTGCAGTGGCACCATATTCGGACCTGGATCTTCCTGGGCCTTTGCACTGGATCTGGGGCAGTTGTAGCGGAGAGTAGGGAGGACACTCCGGTGCTGAGGTGTGCCAGTGATGAGTGAGGCTTGCAGCTTGCGTGTACATGTCTGTATGCATGACGGGTCTCGTTTCGGGTCGGCCATGTATGTACGTAGTCAGAGTTGAGCACGTTGAATGCTTCTTAACACCTGTGTTAAGGCGATATATGGTTCACGCCATGTGTCTGCATAAGATTTGGCAGCCTCGTGAACATGCACAAAGAGCGTGTCCCGTCTTGCAAACACTGAAAAAAAGCTCTGCCATTACTTAGCTGCAATTGGCAAATCTTTGCGGAGGCCACGACCACACTACTGTTTGTGATACACAAAAGGCCCGTCCCCGTCAGCCGTGATCCGTTGCTGCATGGCCTTTAGAGCAGATATGCTGATCGAATGCAAGGATTCTACGCAAGCACAAGAGTGGGTGGGGGGACGTTGGTCCTTTGGCCCATGTGGGCGATATTGCGGTAGCTGGCCTGCATGTTTTCCGAATTCCAACGGCAACAGTGTCGGTCATTACAAGTCCCACCGAGTCTCAACAGATCTGGGGTGCATGACAAAACCAAGTATGCCCTTGCTTGTATTTACCTCTGAGAGCACGCGGTAGACGGGACTTCTGCGACCTGGTATATGGTCCAGCATTTTACTTCTTCTTTCTATTTTCGTCCATGTCCTTAACAGGAGGCAAAGTCCCCGGACCCCTCGTGGGCATACGTCGGTTTCCATGCATCGCTAGACTGGGAACGCTCATAGCGAGGTGACGATGGATGCGGACGTTGTATCGTTCAACGGTCAATGTGAAAGATGTCCTTCACCTAACATATGCAGTATCCCAAAAACGCCCACAAGTAGCCATCCTGCAGGTTTTGTCGAAAATGGAGAGGAAAAGCTTGGCTTCAGCAAAGCCATTTGGCTCTCGAGAGTCGGGTAGTTGGGGCTTTGCGATCGGGAAGCCGATTATGGGCCGGTAAGACGGTAGCGCGAAGGAGCGTGACTCAGGGGTCAAGTGGATAGTCGACAAATGCTAGTGGGAGACAGGTTCTGAGTGTCATATGCCCAAGTGCCGGCGTGTTCCGGTACGTGGCTATTGCTGCAAGCAAGCCATCCTTGTGCCGCTCTCGGAAAGCTCTTCGTGCTTTTGCTGCGGCTACTCGATGGTGTTGCAAAGCACGGTCGATGTGACAGGACACAAGGCTGGCCCTTTTAGTATCGTTCAGGAGACTAAAATCCCGAGTGTGGAAATGGTTGTAGTGATGTGTTTGTTGGTGTTCCGGAAGCTCCCCCCACCACCCGATGGAGTAGGTACAGTAGATTGTTAAAGTGCCAATGTTGATTGGCTCATCTATTGATACCGTGCAGTCGTCAGCACCACGCGCAGCCTTTTGGTCCGCGGCGCACTAGGTCCAAAGACGGCCTTACTGGTCCTTCTCAGAGAACTATCATGCATTTTAGATTGTAAAAAAGGGGGTGTTTCTTCTTGGTGTCTGGTAGTCGTGTTTGTGTTAGATAGATACACCAGACGACGTGTACTGTGTAAGTAAATACGGCGGGTTGCAGGGGTCACGCATTTGAAACCATGATCCTAGGTATAGCAGCGCGTGAGTGAGACATATGGACAGACTTCCTCAGGAACACGGTGCGGCTACACCGAGTAATCATAACAGCTATGCTATTGTCCATCCTCTTGCACGGCACAGCGCCTTACTGCAACTGTCAAGCAGATCTTCTCTCGCTATGGCTCCGTGTATCAAAAGCACGCACACGCACACACGGTAAAAAGCCGTATTTTGAGTTTGATATGATTGTTCTGCTCAGGATTGCCTGGTCACTAAGAGCGTAGTAATGGAACCCAATTCCATCATATAGTAGTACTATCAACAAACTTGTCCAAAAATGTGTTCTAGAAGCGAAGCAGCAGCAATCTGCCGAGGGGGGTATAATGAACAAACCAATATAGCGGAATCGGGAGTAGATATTCTCAAACCGGCGAGAATATGGAAAATCTGCAACAAATATTGCCCTTCTTTTTGATAAGGGACCATGGGTATGTGAAGTGAAAGATGTTGAACAACATGGTGTGGTGGGGAAAGTTTGGTATCGGGAAACGCCTTTCCGTTCCCACCCATCGCACCGAGAGCGTAAATAACAAACGTGTCGAAATGCAGAGACAATATTTTCAAAACGCCCAAAATCATAATACATGAACTCATAATACACCACCCGCTAGATGTGTGCGTGTGTGTGTGTGTGCCCGTTCCGTCAAACGCCAAGTAAGCCTTGTGCGAAATGTCTGTGCACCGGGAGAAAGGAAGGATAAAGAGAACACAAGTGTGTGGGGAAAGCAAGCGTCAGAGCATATCGTAATGCTACCGAGGCAAACCACTGATCGAGATTGCGCCTCGGCCAAGAAGATGGTAAAATAGGTAATTGGAATCGAGGCCAAAGATGCCATCACTGCTACGTGTGGTTGTGGAGCGGAGTACGGCAACACGGTCGCGAGATGATCCCGAGATGACATGGGTCGAGGATGGCGCGAAGCGAGCGTCGAATGCACCTCAGAGTGCGAGCCCAGTGCCGTCGCCGCTCCAACGGTAGAGACTCAACATTTCCCTTCGGCGTTGTTGCGCCAGTTCGGCATGTTCGTCTATGCCGCGGCCACGCACTTGCTGCAAGGCAGAGCGCATGACTTTCCGGAAATTTCGCTGTGAGATGATTGTTAGCATGACTGGCCGTGTTTGAGAAAAACTCCGCTTGGCTGAAACAGAAAGGAAGGCTGATTGCGTAACGAAAAGAAAAAAAGGCAATAAACTATCCGGGGCGCTTACCTGGTACTCGGTATTCAGAGTCACAATGCATGCCTCGTGTGCACGTACTATAACTTCGCACGCACGAACTATCTTGGGGTTGGCGTCTCCTTGGAGTTTGTCCGCGATGAGAAGTAGCAAGAAGCTTCCCTGGAGCAGGTAGATCCCGAAGAAGAACGGCATGAAGCTCAAATCAGGATCTAGCTCAAGGACCTCGTTCAATGCCTCAGCTGCATGGACCGCATGGCCCGTAGCATCCACAAAACTTTGCGAAGAGATCCAGAGGTCGTTGTCATCCAGAAGCGAAATGGGGTCCCACTTCCCGTTCAGCAAGATATGCAGGGTGTGCATAAGGTGCGTGCCATACGCCTCCACAATCTTGGCGTGCAACAAGTTCTCCTGCGCTCGGGATATAGACGAGTTGACAGATCGTACCGAGGGCGTGCCAGGATGTACTGCTTCCTGCTGGGCCTCCACGTTCGCCTCATGGACTGCACGGTTCCGAAGCTCCTGCAAAGAATGGCCATAGGCTACAAGCTGCTGACTGATCTCTACCACATGATGCTCCCAGTCTGTCTTGGCTCCAAAACGCGGATGATTGCGGGCATGGTATAGGTCGGTAATCTCTCCAAGAATTGTCATCAGAGGAAGGAAAAATCCGAAAATGGAGTGCCCGGTGCACTCGAATGCAGGCCCTCGTCGGCGAAATGTGTGATCTGAAAACGATTGAGCGGAGTCCTCGAAGAATTCCCCAGATTGCCATACGTTATCGTCAAGCGGCTGCAGAAGCCCGGAGCATTCCACGTCCAATAAAGAGAGCGGCCGGTTGTAGCATAGGGCTAGATGGCTACATATGGATCAGCACTTGTCGGTTTGGGGAACTTGACTGTTGTGCCAGGATGTCGACAGCATGGTTCCAGCAGTGTTTCTTTGTTGGTGCCACGGGCGACAAAGATCAGAAGGCTTACCGATCGACTGTGAACAAAAGCCACCATATACGTCTACGCTCTTCTCTTTGCTCCTCAGTGCATTCTACGGAAGAGTGTTGACCGTTCGGGTATGTTCCGCCCCTATGTTCGGCACGGATATCTCCCGAAATGTTTTCGTCGTTCGGTTCGGGTGGTGGCGTTACAGGCACTTCTTTACCCAACTTGAGCTCTCTGGCCAGTGACCATGCTGCGTTCCACCAGCGTAGTGACGCAGCCTTGTACTCGCTTGCGGAGATGACAATAGCTAGATGCATGTAGGTCACCACCTCATCAAGGCCGCCGCATGCTCCCGCTATAATACTTTGCGTTAACTCTGGGCAATCTGGGGTTTGAATGATAGAGATTGACTTACGTAGGCCTATATCGGATTCTTGAGTTGGCATTCCGAAACCATCCATGGTCACACCGTCGACCATGTTTCCAGTGGCGAAGTTGGTAGGGCCACTATCCGGGCTGCCTGGTGTCTGATGTACCAAGGGCTTCAACAGACTGATTGTCAGATTGATCAGCTTCTCGGAAAGCTGACTCCGCGCAGACGGTGATGATGATAGATAGGGTGACTCGCTCGTCAAGCAACCGATCCATAATATGCTAGCCAGCAGTGCCGGGCTGCACACCCTTGGGTTGTTCGTCCTCAGAAACGACCGTTTTCGGAACACGTAACCAAGTACGTAAGGAGATACGGGCTGCATGAACGCGGACGAGGAACTCTGGAAGTAAAGCTCGAGTAAGTCGCAGGCCAATGACACTGGCATGATATTTGCCAGGTGTGGAACCAACGGCTGCAAGACTGGGTACCTTAATTGTTGAGAGTGACTCTGGTGTGGTGCGCCCGAGTACATGGTATTAGAGGGAGAGGGCAAAATCCAGCCAGGTGAGCCATTGGCTGGTGACTGGGGCATGTACCCCATATTTGGGGGTTCTTCTGGCATTCCAAAGGCGCCTGGTTGTGGTTGTGTTTGCGCATGCGCACTCTGCGGACTCATCATACTATAAGGGCTTCCCGAGTACTCCATAGCATGTCCGTGGGAGGAAACGGCAGGATGCATTCCTGGCTGCATCACTTGGAGTGGTGGTTGTTGGTAGGCGAGGTTTCGATGGTACTCCATGGATGCGTACTCTGGAATCGAGTGCTGCATGGGCAGTCCTTGTGTCTGAATGCGAGGCGGCTGCATAGGCTGCATGGCTTGCATGCCGTCAGCCATTTGGTGATGCATGTCGCCTTCTGGGATTGTGTCAATGGCGTTCAAGCTCATGGTCCTGTTCGGGTACATGGATGCAGTGTCCATATCAGAACTTGTGGTTGCAATGCTGGCGGACCGTGCCGGTAGCTCGGAATGAGGCCTCTGACCCTCTGGGAGTTTGGGGCTGCTACTTGGGATAGATTCCGCGGTCTTGTCTGAGGGCTGTGGAGTACTGGACTCTTCAGACTTGACCGTACTGCTTCCTGCGGCTGCGGCTGCGGCAGCTTGTTGCTGAGCAATGTCTTTTCGCGATGCCTTGCCGCGCTTCTTGCGCTCACGGATGTATTCGCACGTCAGACCAAATTCTGGTGTTTTGTTAGTGAAACTGTCAGACGTGGTAGTGGCAGGACATGGCCGGCTGTGCTAGGTTCCGACTAAGACGCCTAGCAGACGCCACAGCAGAAAAGGCCGATCACGGTGCCAGAACATCCCCAGACAACTGCGGGGTTCATGCCATGCCCCGGTCCACGATTCGTTGCTACGTACCTATACAATGCGCGCACTAACCCATGGATTAGTCGGCTTAGCTCTAGTAGTACATGTGGGACGCTGGTAGTAGCAGTAGGAACTTACAGACTGTCTCCCATCACACTTTGTTCGCAGTTGATTACACTGGTCGCATGCCCGACTGATCCTACGTCGCACCGGCCCCGACGCAGAGTTGCTGCGTCCTGATCGTTCGTGGAGCATCTCTCGCTGGTGTCGTGGCGCCAGAGGCCCACTGGCGTAGGGTAGTCGATGATGGGGCTTGATGACGGCCTTCCCGTTGGGCAAGACATGCCGGTTGTGGTGGAACTGCAATGCGGCGTATTGCGACGGGTGGGCCATGGACTCGAGTGAGGAATGTCCCATGTGGTCCATGGCAAGATGGTGATGGTGATGTGGATGGTCGACTGCGTTGGGCGAGGGGACATGGCTGAATGCCGGGGGGTACTGATGGAGATTCGTGGAAAGCATAACTGCGTTCTAGCGTCCGTCTCCACCAAACTTCCACCACTCGAGACAAGAGGCTGAGGAGTCAATAGTGGCAAGAAGGGATTGAATATGTCCGTAGGGAAATGGGAGATGGGGTTGGGTGGAGAGAGGTGGAGAGGTATTTGGCAGGGCTAGAGGGTTGCAGCGCTGGGGGGCGGTTGTGCTGTGAAGGACGTCCAAAAGATATGCAGGTCAGTTGTCCAACCGTCTTCTTTTGACTACAGCCAGCGAGCCAGGGTTACGATATTGCAGCCGGCTACCACAGTGGCCGCTTGATGCTGAGCCTTAGTGGAGGCAGTGGGGTATAATAGCTTCTGTCCACTGCGTGGCAGCGCAGGAGGGCCATCATACCGAATCGACATGGGCAAACCTGTCGCTCCTCCGGGCCCAGCAGCGTCGTGCGTCAGAGATGTCTCTGGCCACATGCTGCAAACGAGATGGGCAGCAGGGCGGGTTCGTGCGTAGGTGCGTCTGGTGGTCGAATGTGGTCAAGCTGGCTTCCGTTCCTCCATCCCCAGTTTGAGCAATTCACCCCTGCCAGACCTGCCAGACCCTGGTCTTGCAGCACACCAACACTCGAGGGCGAGCACAGTCCACCAAAGCCGCTGGATCGCCGGTGCTGCGGACGTGAACACGGACACATGCCAGAACGCTCGCCGCGGGTTAGACTGGCAATCAAAAAACCATATTGGCTGATCGGTGCCATCCCGACCCTATATGCGGCCGACTTAAGAAGGGTGGTGTACCGATGCCGGCTCAACAAGTACCTCCAAGTACCTGTCCGTACCCAAGAGACCCACCCACCACTATAGCATGGCCCGTTTCCCGTTGCTGAGCGATCAAGGACACCCCAGGATGGTGATTGGCGAACCCAGCCCGCTCAAACTGCGTCCGTTGGCACACGAGCCGCTCGCAACACGGGACCTGGCAGTCTCCGCCACCGCCCCAGCCTGTCTGGGACGCGACCACCACCTCTTCCTTTAGTCGCAGCCCCCAATCGCCCCTCCCTGGCTCGACATGCACCCTCAAGCCCAGCGCTACCCGCCTCGATGCCGGTCATACTGCACCCTGGTGATGAACCCGTCGGCCATGCCAACCTGCGCTGATCGTCTCCATCCATCCCTCTCCCGCCGACCGCCCCCGGAGATGGATGGGCCATGGACCGTCAGCTGGAAATGCTCAAAGACTCCCGCTCGTCTCAGACACATACAAGCCTCTGCTACCAGAGTTTTCACACCACGCTGCAAGGGCCGTCGACCAGGCAGGGCCATTCCCATAACAACCCGCCTATACCTCCCCAGGAACCAAACACACAGAGTGTGTCCCTTCATAACACTAATGCATTTCCACACTTACTCCGCTAATGCATCTTATGAATCCCGTATACCAGCCTGGACAAATCCGCCCCACCGCTAGAGCCAGACTCAAGTTTGCCAAGCATAAACCTGGAAACCTCCCATTTGCATGTGTTGAACATCATTAGATCTGGATATAACACATAGTGTTAATGGCACCAGCTCAAATAAAAATCTGGGCAACATCAGCTGCTGCACGTATGCCACGTCTGGTCCAACCTGCTGAAAGATGCTCCAAAGCGGGCCGTGTCAGCAGCGTTGCAGGAACAGCCCATCGACTTCACGGTGCAGGATGCTCCGCGCTACTCAGCAGGGCGAGTATGTATCCATTGTTCGGTAACGAGGGGGCCCCACCCCCGAAGAGGCCTTGTCGAGTTTGGCTGCAGTTCCAGACCATGAGACTGTTGGCTGACAGGTTCCAACTGGCGACGTTAGGCGACAATGCTGTAGTATCTGTGGATCGCCTCGCATCCTGCCTGCTGGGCTAGTGCCCCCAGTGTTTACCAAGCACCACAAATTTAAATTGACCTGCATCGGTCGCCACAACGACCCGGATTCGCATTACAATGTCGGACCGTTGTTCAAGCGGCTAGAAGTATTCGCAGCAATGTCACGTTGAAGCCTTCTATTTTTTTCAGTCGTCGACACGAGTATTGTCTCGAGATCCTGCACGAAGGATTTTCGTCTGATCTGTTCCAAGTGATTTCCATCGTGAGTCACTGTAACGTGATGCCATTGTTTTAACCGCCGAAACAACAAGGCACGAAAATCACGAGCAACGCGACTATCCCCTTTCGCCACGTACGTCGGAAGAATGCAAGCTAACAGTGAGGCCTCCAAGAGTCGTCTTATCAGGTCATGGCCAGTTTTTTATACCAGTCTGGTAATCAGATTCGACGACCGTTATTTGAACTTGCGGGAATATGCTCAAGCATGGGACAAATGCGAGCCTGCTCGGCGTTGCCGATTGCACAGGGTGAAAGCAACGCGTCCCAGCATTTCACACTTCCATCTTTACCGTAATGGGTATGTGTAGCTGCAGTGATGTGCAGACATTCAATACATTCGGTGCTACGATAAGCTATGCAATCAGCTCATGCCCCTGATCTCATCATGACTATGATGACTGTTGATCTGGTCTTCGTTGACAGAAAGCAGGTAAGCCAACTGCAGACAACTACAGTTTACTTGTGCTCAACAGTCGACTGCTTAGCTACCATGCACTTGGTAATGGACTCAACAAAAGTAATACGAAACACCCCATGTCATAGTTTCCATATTCTCTTAATAGTTTGCAACTCTGTTATACCAGTATCGCAATTGTTTCACTAATCGTTCAATAACAATCTGTCTTTATTATTCATGCTAAGACGCGATTCAAATGGTCTGACAAGTTGTTCCCCGCGAGTACCACTGGAAGAATACCGCAAATATCCTATTGGGCCTGATTCTCTGTCGGCTCTCCAATTTCAACATCCAGGGATTTTGTGCAAAGCAAAGGAGACTTTCTTGGAAAGACCTATACTTAGTCTGTTACCACGTCAGCAATAACATAAGAGTGATAGAACATAATACTCCAGGACATGGTGTCATGTGCGGTGTAACACCAAGTGGAGTGAAACTCTACTCTATTCTGGCCGTAGCTAATCTCGTCCACATGAAAGGTGCAATCAGCGGAAGAGGCCTTCAATAAGGATTCATTTTCACTTCACAGAACGGAGTTAGAAAAAGATCACAAATCAAATTGGATGCGGATAAAATGAATGCTTCTATCGGTAATATTTCCTCTTCCAGCTGCAAAAAGCAATCATGGTATCTTCAGATACGGTGGTGACAACAAATAATAGAACTGTGGAGTTGCTAACAACATAGCTCACTTGCATTGCTCCCTGTGTCAATACGTATGCAGTTGATAAAAGCTTAGAGATCGTAGATGTTCTGCGCAACATCTATCCATAACAGGTAACTCGGGCTTCAACGACCGTGGCTTTGTGCTACAACGATTACTCTATGTCAACGCCTAATTGACTCAGCATCACTCTTCACTAATCCATGCATCAAACACATCCGTTCACCATACTTGTCATTTTTAGTCCGATTTATGAAAACTAAACACGAACATCGGTGGTTAGTTGACATAGCTACACATAGTTCTTTTGGCTTGGCTTTCAACCTACTTTCAATTAGTATCACTCAAATCTGACAACTTACCGTGATTCTCAAATACACGCACAATGCATCATGCGTGTACAGATTCACATTAAGTACGACTACGGCAATAGATTTGGAGTAGAATGTTCAAGACAGTAGGGGTAGTCTCGCATTTTAAACACCAAGCTGAACTACCATTGAAATAACAATTGCACCATGCATCTGTTTTGCAAATAATTTGCTAAAAAGTCACATCACTGCACTAAAAGACCAATAACGAAACACACAGTGAAAGATTTTAAGATACTCTTTTCGATGTACTTTGCAGTAACAGACTTGAGGCGCTCCTACCACAACAGCGCAGCTACCCAACACCAGGCCTGCTAACCCCCAAAGTCCTAGATCTATACGACCGTGTAGAACAAGGTTCTCTGGATCCTCCACAATGTCTCATACTATTGGCAATAGTTTTGGATATCATTTGGGTTACCATTGCGATCCAGCCACTTTAGCGCACCGACAGATGACAACACGCCGACGCTAAGCAGATCACCGACGGGCCGCAAAAGACCACCACAATTCGTATTGCTTACTGCTGTTGCTTGGGCCAAAAAATGTACCAGGTATATCGTGTCTTTGATATTACAATATCCACTTTTGTCCATGATTACTGTTCAAACTTTGGGGGCGGCTTTGTGCGGGGTTCTCTACTAGTTGGGCCTTGGACGGCTTCAACATGTCGCATGCAGAATTTGTTGTGATTTTTGATTACAGGATAACGTAAAGGCATCCGCAACTCGTATATTCTTGTTCAAATTTTACAAAAATAGTCTGCATGTAGTTGGCCCACTGAAAGACGGTGTGGGGATACAAGCAAAGAGCTCTATCTAAACACTTTGGCATCTCAATAGTACGTTACCTAACTATAACACGTTGGTGCGCAGCTATGAGAGACTTACTATTGCTCGTTTACTTACGTCGATGATATTCTGAGACGCTTCTTAGATCGTTGCCTTTGAAAGCTAAAGGCATGCACCGCCAACATATACATATGCCCTAACCGGATGATCGCGCCACAGTTCGACCTTATAAGAACCAGGTGGCTCGAGTGGTGACGAGGTAGACAGAACTCGAACAAAACAAGCATAAATTGAGCGTTTATCTTGTGTCTGTGCTGATCGTCGTTCCATTCTGGAATGATTCTCAAGACGACGTAAGCAGTTGCTTACATTGAGGCCGATAGTGTGATCTTCATGGGCGGAGCAAGTCCCTAAACACGAGGACAACTCCAAGATGTGTCGTAACGAGCCGTTCGGCACAGCTATCCCGGCCCATGGAGATGGGTAAAGACCCAAACAAATAGCACCCAAGTTTTCGCAAAGTCATATAAGGCGCATGGCGCAAGCGAGTACAGCTGCACTGTGGAGCAGGGAAGGTAACAGGACAAGGCACTGCGGCTTCCAAAGCCGACTTCAGTTCAGCTTGTTGATTTTCATATATTGCTCGTACAGCCTTTGATGTTGCTGCATAAATCCCGTGGCTAGCCCGTTGATGGACACGTGCTGGACCTGATCATAACAGGTAAAGATATGACCATTGACAAGACTATAGGCCATCCAGCATATAGTCACTACTGACGCTGGCTTTCAGCTTCTAGCGTCATCCCGTTCGCCCTTGAGGGTCACATGGCTCACAAAGGCTTGACAAGCTCGCACAACCACGTGGACATGTACACCCTGTCACTTGTGAAACTTTGCACGCCGAGTAGGCCTCGGTCTTGGGCTTCTCAACAGACAGTAGATATTATATGGTAAAAGAACCCTCCCGATATGAATGGGCTGGACCAAGGATAGCGGGGTGAAGTGGATATTCTAGAGGTTCTATGCAGAATGCAGGGTGGTGTAGGAACCAGGGGATACTTGGTACTCCCCTGCATGGTGCTCAACAGGCACAGTCAAAAGTCTCTGTCGAACGTGTGCAGAGAATTGCCATGAAAATTGCCTGTAAAGAGAAAGACGGTGTCGGTAAACCTGCCACTGTTCTACGATTGAAGATTCTGCATTCCGTTGCGCGAAGTGAGCCAACGAGGCTGCTTAGGAGGAGTCGCAAATGCAGTACCGATACTATGCTTTTGACATAATACAGTGGTGAGAACGGAACTTTATTGCTACTCAGATATGTGATTGACCCAGCACTCTCTACCACTCACTGAGATGCATTGTCGGCATCTCAATGATATGGCAGGAAAAGGCCCGAACCCATGCCGACGGCAATCTTGCGTCTCAACATAAACTACTGTGGTACATTACTCAAAGGTCACGACCAAGGCAATTCTCTGGTAGATGACCAGGTCGGTGGAGACGGTCAGGGGTATTGAGCCACTGCTGCGGCCCTACTGTGCAGATTGTTACGGCCATGTGGTAGAACGCTTGAGCAATCCGATGAGATGGCCGAGCAAATGCCCGGAAATTTCCCCCCATCATGGTCACGATAGCGCAAGTGAGTATGTAATCGCGCCGTCGATAACCGTGATAAGAGAGATTATATCGAGTCCGTTTTTCGGCGTGGAGGGGTGAATGTCCCTCCACCAAGATGGAACGTGCACGAGCTAGTCCTAGCGTGTCATACGTCATTTCCGGTTTGGCGGCGGGCAACGCTTCAACTCAAAATTAACTGCTCCCAAGGCGCCGCTGAATCGACACTGCCGTGTCTGCTTATTGTGCATTGCCACTTGAATTTATCCATAGAGGCCTCGTACCAAAACAAGCACCGCCACCATGTCGCTCGAGAAGATCACGACCATCTCTCCCATCACCAACAAGCCAATCGTCACACGCAATGGCCTCTCAGATGCTGATTTGCAGTCTCTCCCTGAGACGGCTGCAACGGCATTTGAATCCTATCGACGCACGTCACTCTCTGAGAGGCAAGCGATTGTTAAGAAGGCATTGAAGCTGCTAAATGAACGCCAAGATGTTTTGGGTAAAGAGATCACAGAACAGATGGGTCGCCCCATTGCCTATACTGCCAAGGAGGTCAGCACGGCGGTTATGCGCGGCGAGTACCTGCTCAAAATTAGCGATGATACGCTCAAGGACACGGACGGCGAACCAGAGAAGGGGTTCAAGCGCTACATCAAGAAAGTCCCTCTTGGTCCCGTGTTGATTCTATTTCCGTGGAATGTGGGTGGTGATCAAGGGTTACATCAAGTCTTGCACTTGCTAACCATATTTGCAGTACCCATATCTGACTCTCATCAACTCGCTAGTGCCTGCTCTGCTTGCAGGAAATTCCGTCATTTTGAAGCCATCGCCACAGACGCCAACGAGTGCCGAGCAGATTCAACAGATTTTCAAGGAAGCTGGCCTTCCTGATGGTGTGCTTCAAATCTTCCACTGTGGATCCGTCACTCAGATTGAGTCGATTGCACGATCGCCAAAGATTCAGCTTGTTTGCTTCACCGGATCAGTAGCCAATGGTCTCGCCATTCAACAAGCTGCAAATGACAGGGTTCCACTCCGGATAGGACTTGAGCTAGGAGGGAAGGATCCCGCTTATGTTCGTTCTGATGTCGATGTCAAATGGGCTGCAGAGGAGCTCGTAGATGGTGCAGTCTTCAACTCAGGCCAGAGTTGCTGCAGTGTTGAGAGAATCTACGTGGACGAGAAAATCCATGATGAGTTCGTATCAGCACTTCAAGAGGTGCTCAAGGGGTACAAGCTCGGCGATCCATTTGACAAGAGCACGCATGTTGGTCCCGTGGTCTCCAAGAGATCTGCAGAGACTATCCGTGAGCACGTCAAAGACGCTCTGGAAAAGGGAGCCAAGGATGCTACCCCGGAAAATGCGACATTCCAGAACCCGCCTGCAGACGGAAACTACGTCGCTCCGACCCTGCTGACAAACGTCAACCATGAGATGATAGTGATGACTGAGGAAACGTTTGGCCCTGTTATTCCGGTCATGAAGGTCAAGAATGACGCAGAAGCAATCAAGCTCATGAATGACAGCCAATTTGGACTTACAGCTAGCATTTGGACTAAGGATGTTAACAAAGGCCATGAACTCGCCGATGATGTTGAAGCTGGTACCGTCTTTGTCAATCGATGCGATTACCCCGCACCGGTATGTAGCTCTATCGCCACAGTCATGGCATTGCATACTGACAATTTTAGGACCTGGCATGGGTTGGCTGGAAAAACTCTGGCCGAGGTCAGACTCTCAGCAGGTTCGGCTTCGACCAATTCGTTAAGCTCAAGAGCTACCATGTCAAAGATTACCCAAAATAGATGCAGCATCCGAGGCACGTTGCAGGCCTGTTGTCTGTCAAGAGTGCTCGCCGCTGGGGTGGCATTTAGGCCTGCCATAGGTATGGTTGAATGCAATCAGTCTTGCAAAGAAACCGCTAGACACTATTCACGACTTCGGATCAATGTGACGATGATTTCAAGTGAATTGACAGCCAACAAAATTTTGACATTGTGGTTGCAGGAGTACAGGTACAAATACTCTGGCTGGAACCTTGTAGCAATGTGTTCTTGCGTACAACCACGCAACCACGCATCTTGAAACACCAATACTTTGTTGAGAATCTTATGTGTCTACTAGCGCCTTAACAGGTGCTCTCTCATCTCCACATTCTGCTGGCACCAACTGATAATCTCAGATCGATACGGGAAGAATAAACAACGGAATCAATCTCAAACACGACTAAAGTTTGTGATCCGCAAGGGTCGTGACTCGGGCAGCCAAGTTTAGTGAAAAGCTTGTCACACCATGATAACTTCAAGCGAACCCTGGTTTCCGTATTCATTTTCTTCACTTTTTTTAGTTCTTTGGTTGTACTTTGCAGATCAATTTTTTCCGGTGCCCGTGATTTTACGAGCACATCACCGATCATACTCAAGCCATCTCTTTCGCTCTTTCTTTAACGTCTTTGTCGCGCGCCTAGCCTCCCGGCACAGCGCAATTCCCTTTGTACCGAGGCCTATGTTTCAGCGTCTGTGCTCCCCCATACCTGGCTCTGGCTTTGGAAATCCCAACTTGGCGTGTTTGTTGGCAGATACCGACCATCCATCTATCCATTATTACTGATCCAGATCTGTAATTTGTTGCTTCTTCTCCAGTAACCAGGCGCATACGCTGCAACCTGTTTTTTTTTTCACCCCGCACCTACAGCAATGGCATCCATGTCTATGGCTACTGTGATGCAACATGTGTTTCCCTGTTTTGCTCCACGGACGAAGAGGGCTACTATGGTCATTGTATGTTTATCACTTCCCTCATGCTAATCTTTATTCTACCAGTCACATGCACGGAGTATCATTACATTTTCTAACATGTACATTTATAGGGCGCACCGACAGATGTACGACATTTAGACATCTCAGAATGCATACCCGGTCTTACAGAGGCGCAATGTGAACAAATTCGGAGCAAAACCAGGAGCAATGCCACAAGTTTACTCGACTTCGCACCTGACGTGCTACCGTACCCACCCAGTCTTGCTACTCGCGATATATCGACGCGTGGATCCGGATCAGAATGTGAGGATTCCTGGGGAAAATCAAAGTCTTGTTTGTCGTTGAACGACTCATTGGTGAATGATGCGGCGAAAAAGTCGCCTGGTGATGTTGCGCCACCGCCACGAGTGGCGCGTAAGAGGAGTAGTATGATGGAGCTAAAGATGGAAGATATGGTGGAGACTGAGAAGCAGTCTCGTGGGTGACGTTGGTGATCAGGATGCGATCATTTCCTCGACACTACCTGGCGAACAAAAGAATGAGAAATGAGGAGTGTAAGGGGCTTTGTAAGACCAGATTCGTGCTTTACAGGAGAGAGCGAATAAGTTGTTTAAAAAAACACAGTAATCGCCGGACGAGATCAAAAAGCGAGAAAAAAGTAAGGATATGCACAGGTTGCAAAAGCGTTTCATTCATAGGTCTATTCTGGAATACAGCACCTAATGTATTTTGTATTTTTTTATATCAAATTCAGGAATTTACATATTCAAGATAGATTCATCTCATAGGCTCCAGAATGATATTATCAAGTAACCGGACAGGAACTTGATGACCCTCGGCGTCCAGCCGGCCCAAATCCTCTTTGTCTGGCTGCGGTTCCTCAACCGGCAGCATTTTGACTACACCACTTAGAATGGCACCCTTGCTGTCGTCAATCTGCTCGATTTCTTCCATGGTGTCTGGGTCTGCAAGGCTAATGTAGTCGACTTCAAACTTTACGCGCTGGCTGGGCTCTAGCTGCTCTTGCTCAAGGAGAGTCATGTTTGTGTGGTCGAATGCAGGCCACAACACATCGTTCCGCAGGCGCATCCCATTCTTGTACTTGAGTTCTGCCTTGCGGAGTGCTTGGTTGAGAACAATAGCCACGTTGCGGCGGCGTGTACCCAGGTAAACATTGCGAGACGAAAGAGCAAGGCCATCGGACTCCCTTGACGTAGGAATTATGCGCAGATCCATGTCAAGGTGAAAGTCGGTGATCATTCGTTTGATGACGCGAGTTTGTTGAACATCCTTTTGCCCAAAGTAAACGCGGTCCGGGGCGCAAATGTTGAAGAGCTTCATACACACGGTCGCTACGCCGCGAAAGAAGACGGGTCTTGATGCGCCCTCGAGAATTTGACCAAGCGGACGCATCTCGATAAACGTTCCTACGCCGGGGATGCTACTGTCAGGCGGGAGGGTAGGATACATAGTTTTGGTGTCTGGCGCGAAGACAGCCGTGACTCGTCCTTGGCCTGAGCTTGCCAGCTGTTGGTTCAGCTGTTCTATTATGCGCAGGTCTGACTCCCATGTCTTTGGATACGAGTCGAGATCCTCGTTCAGGCCGAATTGGGTGGGGTTCACGTAAATTGTGACAAAGACATCGGTGTTCTCAGCTGCGGCATGGCGCATGAGCGAGAGGTGACCCTCATGCAAAGCGCCCATGGTGGGTACTAGACCGACAGTACGCTGATTGAGGCGCAAGTCCCTTCGGTAGTCGCGCAAGGGAGCAACATGGCGGAAGATTTGGGGTTGGGGGTTCGAGGATGAGGTATTGCACAGACTCGGGGATCCGGAGAAGAAGCGGATGCTGTTATTTGTCCTCGAAGCTTGCAATGGACGCGGAAACTTGGCCAGTAGACACGAGCGTGCTGTCGGTACTGATCTTGGTCAGCTCAATGGCTCAGTGTCCGTGTATAAGGTTGTATTCACCAGATGTTAACCGGAGTAGTGACATTGCGGGGAGTTGCGGAGGTGTCGCTCGGAATGGGACTGTAGTTAGCTCTCGAGTCGCGCAACGACCAAGCGGGCGATGGAACTTCTCCCTCGCAACGTGGAGGTTGATGAAGCATGGTGGGATCGCGAAAAGGCAGCCATGCCTTGCAAGAATTGAGAATGGAAAAGACGTCTGGTTTCTGCGCTGAAGGTAGCATCATGGGTGCACACATACGGCCGCATCGGGTTTAGTGCCCCACTAAAAAGATGGAAGTCGAGATTTCGCATGCTGTCGCAGTCGACGACTGACGCCCCGCTACTTTCACAACCGGCGACGGCGATACAGCGCAGACATGGGCGACGATGGCATGCTCCTCAATTTCTCCATCCCGGAAAGCGGCATCATCGCAAAGCCAACCTTCAAGGGCGGCAACTGGAAGAGTCGGCTCACAGCGAAGAAGGCGGCGCAGAACTGGCACACCAAGGCGACAGCACGATTGAACGGCGAAACAGTACCCAAGAAGAAGGTCGACCATGCCACCAATGTGAACCGCACAGAGCTGGGTCCGCGCACACCAAAGCCCGTCGATGATACCGACCTGCTCGACCATGGCGACAGACACCCAAAGCGAGCGCGTGTGAGCGGAGAATTCAAACCGGAGGCGGCTGAAAAGACTGCAGACCCCAACTTCAGGCCGCAGTCGAACCCGAATGCGACAAAACGTCCTGGCGAGCAGCAGAGTGCACCAAAGGGCGGCAAGCAGGTCATTTCCTCGCTATTTACCTACAATCCCACTTCCACCACCAAGCCGGAAGCGGCCCAACCACGCGAAGACGATGCACCCGTCGAACCCTCGAATGCGCCCCTCAGCAGCGAACTCCACACGTTCACTTCACTCGGCATGTCCACAACACTTGCCAGCCATTTGCTCAACAAGATGGACCTGAAGGCGCCCACAGCCATTCAAAAAGCCGCGATAACACAATTGGTCAAAGACGACTCAGATGCTTTCATACAGGCCGAAACTGGTTCCGGAAAGACGCTGGCCTATCTTCTGCCTATTGTGCAGAGACTAATGGACTTGTCAGCGAATATGAAGAAACGGAAAGTCGACGAAAACGTACAAAGAAATTCAGGCCTGTTTGCTATCATCCTGGCGCCAACGCGAGAACTGAGCAAGCAGATTGCCATGGTGCTGGAGAAGATACTAGGGTGCGCGCATTGGCTAGTAGCCACGACGGTCATTGGCGGTGAGAAAAAGAAGTCGGAGAAGGCTCGTTTGCGAAAAGGTATCAACATCTTGGTTGCAACACCAGGTCGACTGGTAGATCATCTGGAGCACACAGAAGCGCTGGACGTGAGCAACGTCAGATGGCTAGTTCTGGATGAAGGAGATCGCCTGATGGAACTTGGTTTTGAGCAAGAGATTCAGAAGATTGTTGGTGCTTTGAACCTACGAATGCGCGCAAGGAAAGACGAAAAATCACGGATACCAGGACTCCCTGAGAAACGCACCACAGTACTCTGTTCCGCAACCATGAAGATGGATGTTGAGAGGCTGGGTCAAATAAGTTTGAAGGACGCCGTTCATCTTCGAGCCGATCCGTCAGAGAAGGGACCGGAAACAAGTGATACAAGCAAGGATACCACTTTCTCCGCACCCGCACAGTTGAAACAATCGTATGCTGTTGTGGCGCCCAAACTACGATTGGTATCTCTAATTGCCTATCTGAAGCGCGCGTTTGCGCGAAAGGGTTCCGTTATGAAGGCAATTGTCTTCATATCTTGTGCCGACTCTGTCGACTTTCACTTTGACATGCTTACTAGCGATCTCGAAGGAAAAGAAGAACAAAAAGAGGAAGATAAAGAAGACTCGACCGAGGATGAGGCTACGAAAGATGACAAAAAATCTGGCAAAAAGACCAAAGCGATACAATCAGATCCTACAAAACTGGAAGTAACGAGTGCAGTAGCGCCTATTTTATCAGCAAAGACACATTCGGTAACAGCATACCGTCTCCATGGTTCCCTCCAACAATCCCTCCGAACATCGACACTCGCGCAGTTTGCAAAGAACAAGGAACCTTCTGTACTCATCGCTACTGACGTCGCCTCGCGTGGTCTTGATTTACCAAACGTCGATTTAGTCATCGAATTCGACCCGGCTTTTGCCCGAGAAGACCATTTGCACAGAATCGGTCGTACAGCGCGTGCCGGTCGCGATGGACGCGCATGTATCTTCCTCATGCCCGGCTCCGAAGAAGGCTATGTCGATATCCTCAAATCTGACCGCAAGGAGACCGAGGCGGGTATCCATATTGCACGTCAAGACGCAGACGACATTCTTAACCGCGGCCTCGTCACTAGCGGCGTTATGGAAAAGAATGCTTACATGGACAAAGCAACAGATCTCCAGCTTGCCATTGAACGCTGGGCTCTGGCTTCTCCTGCCCGCCTCGAAGCTGCCCGTCGCGCGTTCCAAAGTCACATCCGTGCCTATGCCACGCACGTTGCTGACGAACGCAAGTATTTCGACATCAAAGCTCTGCACCTGGGCCACTTGGCCAAGGCTTTTGCCCTTCGTGAGCGACCCAGCGGTATGAAGGTTCCAGGTCAACGAACTGGTGCTGGTCGTAACGATAAGACACCTGTCAAGGTCCGTGGTGGACCAAGGGTAGATGGAGCAAGTCGTAAAGCCGCCACAGAGTCGGGCGTGTCGACGAGGAAGAAGGTCGATCTGGATCTGCCAGAGGGTCAGGATACGGATGAGGCGGCGAAGATGAGGAAGGCAGTTAGGGCAAGGGAAAAGTTTATGCGTCATGCTGGTTTAGCAAGCGAGTTCAACTTGGGCTGAAGAGAATCAAAAACTCGGGCCTGATAGATTTAGATAATGCTTTATATTATTTGAATAATTACTGAACACCAGTCCACCTGTCACATCATATGTCGTCACTTGATATTTCCACCACGAAGAACAGTCTTCATCTCCACCAACAAACACAACCACTACACATTGCTATCCCAACGCTCTCCACCCAATCCCCCATCCTTCCTACAAAACAAACCCCGAACCTTATCCCACGCCTTCCTCGCTTTCGTCCCAAACCTTGTCTTCTCTGCACTCCCCACAACCTCCCCCCTCAACTCCTCATACTGCTCCTCACTACTCAAATCCGGCACATCGCAGCACCGCCGGTTCGCATTACTAACATGGCCACACCTTACATCAGCGCGTTCAACACGCTGCACAGGCAATAGGCGTGCGGTCTGCAACCCCAACGTCTCAGTCGTGGTGAAGGGGTAGGGATCTGTTTCCCTGGTACGCTGGGTATATAGACTTCCACTGCTGCTTTGGTTGCGTGGGTCATCTAGGCAGGAATAGTTTGGACTGAAAGCATCTCTGGTCCTTGTCTGATAGCAGCGGGGGAAGGGTGAGAGTTGGTAGCGGGGCTTGGAGAGCTCGGGGCGCTCGTCGGTTTCCGGTAAGGGACGTAGCTGGTGGGGCTGGGGATGCAGGTTTGCGTCTAGGACGCGCAGGAGAGCGGGGATGTGTGGCGTGGGTGGAGGAGATGGTTGTTGCTTGGGGGAAGGGGATCTTTGTCGCTCGACAGTGTAGATTCTGAGAGATGATTGGGTTGGAGGGAGTGCGCCTGGAGGATTTGTTAGTAAATGCCTAGCTACTTCCTGCGAGTGGAGTTGGCAACGCTTACTTTTTGCTTTGCGGTGCTGTGCATTGTTCTTCGTTGAGGTGGACGTAGGAATCGGCGTGCTTGCCCTTTCTACATTCCTGAGATTTCGTCGCTCTACCTCTACTTCTTCTTTCTCATCAGCCTCCTCCTCACCGTCCAGGGTGCTCTGACTTGGCATAGCAAAAAGCGGCTTGGTGAAGTCCCATTGTAGCTTCGGGGCGTTCATCAGCACTGGCGTCTTTCTTCCTTTCTGTGGTCCCAACACCTCTTTTGCATCACCGGTATGGGGAGTCTCATTAGGTTCTGCTTTGCGCTGGCGTGGGTATGGCGTCTGAGGCCTCGGAGGCATTTGCGAGTTCTTCGCTCCGATCGATCGGCCATCTCCTTTGGAAGAAATTGTGCTTGCAGGCCGTGAGGGAGGTAGGGCGGTCTGATTGGTGAAGCGCACACTATTGTGTAGTGAGTATTTGTTTGAATTATCTACTGGCACGGGCGTGGTGTCTTCAAAATCCCATAGTTTACGGTGGAGAGCTTCATAACCGCTCTGTGGTTGGTGGTAAAGTGAGGATTGGCGTGTAAGCTGCGACGCATCTGGTGGGGTACGGGCTGGGCTAGATGGAAGGCCTATTCCTGAATCCATGGATGGTCCCTCATCAAAACAGTGTGCTGAGTCAGGTGGAGACATGACGTGTAAAGGCTGGTTGACTGTGCTGTATATTGATGTCTCCTGGGTGCAAACGGGAAGTGTGAAGCTAGCTCTGTCCTCAAAAAGTGGTGAAGGGGACGTGGACTGAAATACAGCACATTGGATATTGGAAAACATGTGAATAAAGCAGTCCTTGAGGTCAACCAAGGTTCTATTCCAACTGCATACTCTGGTTACTATTGCACGGCTGCATTACCCTCCATGTTCCTGACTGGTTCTTCAGGAGCCGCATAAATGGGCACCTGACGGCTCGGACTCCCGAAGGGAATCTCTTTTGCTTGCATCGAATTGTCGGATTTCAGAGTATGTATTGTCGACGTGCTATTCGCTGCTTCACCTTTTGCTGGCATGGTGGCCGGCGCTGATTGGCCATGTTCGGATGGATTGTGGGGATCGTAGCCTGGCAGATGTGTACCTGGGGAAGCATGATTCGATATGGGTTCTCGAGAGGGACCATCGGTACCATTCGCCGTAGTCTCATCTCGCGATCTTGTGCGTTGTCTGTCTGCAGGCGTGTTTTGCCCACAACGCTCCTCGTCGTCTGTTTTGGGCGTGGCACGTTTTTGCCGCGCTCGTGCAATCAAGTCCTCAAATTCCGTTCGATGCGATTTTGCATAGCCTTCGCCGTCAAAGTCCTTTCTCATGATCGCACTCTCCTTGGTGTTCGATCTACCGCCCTGGGTCTGTTCCCACTCGTCTAATTCTTTCAGTAACTGCCTATGGCTCTTTCTCAGACTATCATGGGCGTCGCAATTCGAGTTAAAGATATTGATCCACTCTATGTGTCGCCTCTTCATGAGGTCTTTGGTGCCCCAATTAGGGATGCCGATTTCTTGTAGCTTTTTCCGCAATGCGGTCTCTTTCATCATAGCATAATTGAGTTGCGATAATCTTATTGGCGGAGGCGAAGGGTCTTTTTTTCGTGTCTGTAACGCGGGGAAGGCTGGTTTTGTCCTTATGAAATAAGATTAGTCTCTTGCTATGCAAGGCCATATCTCTGTTAAACATACCTTGACCTGGCATTGCGCCCCGGCGACGCATTTGGCCCAGTGCATGTGTCCAGGTGGTTGTAGACCAGCTCTTCCTTCATGGCGCGATTGCAGACTGGGCACTTGACCATACCATCTGGGACAAAATCTTCGTCACCGTCATCTTCGCTATCAGCGACTACAGCAGGCGATGCTGCTCCGCCTCCGTTGCGCTGACTTTTGCTCCGGGTTTGTCGAGACCGAGTTTGCCTAACATTCTCGTCTTCCTCTATATCTGTGTCTTCTATTTTTCTCTTCTTTCTGCGGCCGCCCTTAACTTCCTCGTCTTTGTCTGCACGCGCTAACTCGAGCGCTTTCGGCCTCGCCTCTTGAAACCGCATTACTACTTCTCTGACCGCAATATTTGGTGCCAATTTGTCGCTGGAGCATCCTGTCTTGCAGCTCGGACATTTCCCGTCCGACGCGATGCATCTTCGTATACATATCGAGCAGAACGTGTGGGAACAGGACGTGATGACGGGGTTATGGTAGAACTCCTTGCAGACCTCACAGCGCAAGGCAGCTTCGAGCGGTTCGAAGGCGGGTAAGGACGTTTTGATCCAGTCGGTGGAGTCCGGAAGATCAAAGGAAGAGTCCATGGGTCTATTGCAGACAGGAAGCGCCTGGTTTGAGCGAATGTTGACAGGCAGACGAGTTTGGCCGGGGTCAGACGCGACTCCAGTCGCGTATGCGTCATCACGTGATAACGCTTGGAAATTAGCTGCCTCTCCCTTGCCACTTGTCGGCCGGAGTTCAGCAGTCAACAGTAGAGTAGGTTGCTTTGTAATAGTATTGCGCCTTTTCACCATGCTTGTTGATTTGGTATGTCAAACAAGGTGTCGTGTTACTTGTGAAACCCTAGGGTGAAAAATCGGGTGAGAAAGGAATGAAAGTTTTAAATACTAGCACAAGTGTGTCACTTCAGAACAAAGGCAGGTGCTGATGATGTTTCTTTCGCTCTTTCAATCACTGAACAATTGAGAGACTCTTGGTTTGATGGCAATTCTGATTTAGTTTTCATGGCCATTCGATACGTTCTCCGCATTGAATTGTTGTCTATCAATCTACCGATACCAGACAATCATGTTATTTTAGTGTTGACTGTAGGTGAATTTGACTCTTCTTCTGCCAATCCCCTGTGACATACCCATATCTAATGCCAACTATATTTGTTGTAACCGAAAGTGAAGATGGACCTTTTGTCTTCATAAAATCAGATGCGAAGTCACCACTCTCGGAAACGATAGCCTTGCCGCAGCTCCTTGCTTGTTGATTACAAACCCGAATGCCTTTGCGGCACAATGTACGAGAACAATCGGAGATCTTCTTCAGACTCTGAATACAGTGCTCTTGCTCTTGATGCCATCGAAAACACAAGTGTTGTCGACGGGGACATACTGCTCAGTGATCACTTTGATGATCTCCTGTGAGACCATACCACCTGCTAAAGCGCCAATATTGTGCAACTCAGCACCACCAGCTCGCACACTTTCATATAGTCAGTTTAGTGTCTTCTATAGTTGTTCGGACGCCTTTTCAAGAGACCCATATGACAGTAAGTTTGGTGTTGCAATGTGTACTTACAGCTCACGTGCATAATCTCCAATCTGTGATCGGATGGTTGCATACTCGTCCTCCTCAATAGTAGCATTCGCTTCTTTGATCAGGTCATCGGCGATCTTAAGAGCGATTCCAATCAGCTTTTCTGAATCCGTATCCGGGTCGGTTTCTCCGGCAACTTGAGGCGCCCCTCCTAGACCGTCTTTATTGTGCGTCGCAGCAAACTCATCCCATGCTAGAAAGGCAATGTACAGCGGGATCTGTGAATCGGGGAAGGTGAGTGTCTGAGCTGTGGGTTGTTAGCTCACTCGGCAGTCTCTCATATCTGCACACTTACCAATTGACTTGGCGCGATCGCCCCATTTGATCTTCTCTCCCGCTTCTACTATGTGAAATGGTCGACCGCGCACTAGTTTGATATGTGCTGCGTTCTTGCAGAAAGTCTCAATGTCCTTTTCGTCAATGGGTACACTGCGGTTAGCATTGCGCTCCAAAAATCGTACACTCTCCACCACCTCTGCCAGATCGCGCCGCGCTTTGGATTTGTAGACATTTTGCAACTCGATGTAGTCCGCTGAGCGAGCCTTCATGTCCGGCACAGAGCCAGGGACTGGTAGGACATTGTATTTTGTATAGAACAAGCCAATGGCGTTTGCGATGACCCAGAAGCTCGGTGAGTCTTGGCGGACTAGAAGGCACTCTGGTGCTGTAAAGATTTCCTTGACGGCGCTACTTGCTTGTGGTGGATTGAGAGATTTCAGAACAGCTGCCACTGCCTCATCGAAGTTCTCTTCGCCGCCTTCTGGGTTGTCTGTACGTGCAGCTTGCGATACGGAAGCCCTAAACTCTGTCTTCTCCTTGTAAGTCTGTGGCACCTCTCCCCCATGTTCCTTCTTCCACTTTTCTAAGTAATGCAATAGCAGCGCTATCCATGGCACGTGGCCATGATCTTCAGCCTTCATGTTTTCTAGGTCGGCCGTCTTCTCTTCCGCATACTGTACTAGCTCGGGCCACGGTCGCAGTAACCGCAAGTCTGATGTGGTTTCGGGGCTAGGGTGTGTGTCTACAATGGGGAATGCGGGAGGCAGATGGACGGAGAAGTGAGCGTAGAAGCCAACGGAGTGGAGATAGAATAACGGAACGAGCGCAGTGCTTGCATGTCTAGACAGATTTTCGAGGATATCGGGGCGGATAGGCGCGGTCGCAATAATCAACGAGTATGGTTGCAGGACATTGGGCTGTGATAGCCACGACTCGATAGGCTAGGTCCATTAGCCGACGATCATGGACGAACTGCAAAGCGTGGTTATACCTCTGTGATGAAGTGACCCTGTACATCTGGGTTCAGCTCCTTGAGTAGGTTGCATGTGTGTTCTGCACGGAAGCCTCCTAAATGTTGGTCTTCCAGGAAGAAGTTTACGCCTAGGTCTGCTTCATTGACGACGGCTGAGTCTTGGATGGTGAAGTCGCCAATGCATGGCAGGATGAGGTTCTTGAGTGTTTCTACGCCGACAACTCCCAGCCCTGAGTTTATGAGGAGGATATGGGAGCTCTCGAGCGCAGCTTGGCCCGTAGCTCCCCAGAGGCGTAGCTGGCGATCGTACCTATTGCGGTCAGTACGTGGTAGTGCTGTTTAGCAGCAATGAGGTGACATACTTCTTCTCCTTGGCAGTTGGACCTTGTACGGGAGGAGGGAGGTCTGCCATTCTCACTGATTTTTCTTTTCTTTTCTTTTTCTGGTAGTGGCCGAGAGATATGGCAGAGGAATGTTTGTTACCGCTGTTAGAGCTGCCAGGCACCGGACGCGCTTGAGCTGTCGGCTCGCGCTAGGCGTGACCCCTGCCGCGGGGTATTCCAATGGCGGGGCACAACAGCGTCATCTTTCGCCGCGCGCCCTATCACCTTGTCACGAGCAAATCATTCACTTGCATCCCCCGGCATCATCTAGACTCATTGCTGAAGGTCTCAGACTCTCAGATACGTTGTACATATAAGCCCAGAGGAAGGCTAGCGAAGCGCGCCGGCCCATGCCCTTGAGACCTCTGCCCGTCTGCACTGCCAGTATAAATCAGCAAGCCCGCAGCATCAGTCATCTCACGCCTCCACTGCCCCTCCAAAATTTATCGGTCCCTAGATTGGCTATACATCCATCCCGTACCTACACCACCGGCAAATCTCTTCTACAAAAATCCCTCGGTCAACCCGGTCCGCCATTTTCAAGGCACTTCCACAACACTATATCACTCCAAACCGCAAAAACCATGACCGACACAAATGTCGAGGCTGCCAAACGTGCGGCTGCACAACAGGCCGTTGCGGACCACTTTGATCCGGCGGCAACCCACGTTGGAATTGGATCCGGCACTACCATTGTCTACGTTGTCGAGGCCATCAAGCAGCGATCGACCAATCCCAACATTCTCTTCGTCCCTACTGGCTTCCAATCGCGCCAATTGGTCGTCAATGCCGGCCTCACTGCCATCTCCTTTGACAGTCTCCCCGACCACGTCATGCTCGACGTTGCATTTGACGGCGCCGACGAAGTCGACGCAGAGCTCAACTGCATAAAAGGAGGAGGCGCGTGTCTGTTCCAGGAGAAGCTAGTTGCTGAGCGCGCCAGAAAATTTGTTTGCGTCGCAGACTACAGAAAAAGACAGGACCGTCTCTTGACAAACTGGCCCACCATCCCTATCGAGGTCGCGCCCCTGTCTCAGCTCAAGGTCGCCGGTGCGCTGAGGATGCTGGGATCAACAGGCCCTAAACTAAGGACGACGCTACTGGAGAAGTCAGGGCCCCTGAAGACGGACCAGGATTTTTACATCATCGATGCGCCTTTTCCCCCATTGCTTACATCCGCGGATGTAGCAGCGGGTAAAGGAAAGGGTGACGGCACGGACGGAACATGGGAGGTTAACACCCTGAGCAGGGCCATCAAGGGCCTTACCGGTGTCCTTGAGGTTGGCATTTTCTCGGGCCTGAATGGCATCGATGCACAGGCGCTACGTGAACAGGACCAAAGCACGAAGACTGTCCGCGGGGGCCAGAAGCCCGTCGCCGTCTACTTTGGTATGCAAGACGGAAGCATCAAGGTGCGCACTATCGAGGGCGAGACATGAAAATAGAGCTGAGCGCGGAGAATTCTGGCCAAACATCGGGCCAAGTGGTAAAACAACGGCCATGATCTACAAAGCAAATACATTTTCTGTTCTTCCTTGACCAACTATCTGCAATGACGCAACCTCTCCCCTCAGCATCTCCACACATACACAACATAGTATCAACATCACAGCAATCATTCAAAAGACAACACAATTCTTCATGTCATGGTCATATCAAGCATGATTCATTCATATCTGTGCCAAAAAAAGGGTTAAAAAGAAGAAGTTTAGAAGAGAAGAAGAAAGAAAAAATATAAGACAAAAAGGTCTGCTCCATATCCTACATTCCATTCCCCCTCTCCTTCCAAAAAAGAACAGAGTCAATCAATGAGACTCGCGAACAACAAAACAGTGTCGCAGAAAGGTAAAAAAAAAAGAATTTTGTTTTCCCTGCCAAAAAAAGAAACCCCCAACCCTCAAGTCCCAGAAAGTAGCCAATGGGAATGGCGTTGGCATGAATGTAACCCGATTTCCTTGATTCAAACGCCCAAGTCATAGATGTAAGTTATACGTCTTCCAGTCACGAGCTTAAGGCTTAAGCCATGTGCAGACGCCTCCTCGGGTGAAGATGAGCACGCTTCATGTAGCTCCCCGAGCTAGGGGCAGGGGTAGCAGTGGGGGCAGCACCCTCAGTCACGTAGACGGTGGTAGTGACGACGACGAGGTCAGTCACGTAGACGCACCTGTATCCCTTGGGGCAAGGGGGCTGAGTGGGTTTGGGGCCACCGGCCGATGAAGGGGCAACGGTGATGGTGGAGATGGGGGCTTTGCTGAGGGTAGTGGGCTGCTTGGAGGGGGCTGGAGGGGGAGCAGCAGGGTAGTTGGTGGGCTCCATGAAAGGAGGGCTGTCGTACTCATCGTTGGATGGAGCTGCAGGCGCATCAGGGGTGGGAGTTGGCTTTGGTGCCTCGACAACGGGCTTAGCAGGTGCAGGCGCAGGCTGGTACTCCGAGTCTTCAGGCTTGGTCTCAGTCTCAGGCTTGGGCGCAGGCGTGGACTCTGGCTCCTCCTGCTCCTTTTCGGATGAAGGCGCTGGCGTGTTCTTGGATGGGGCACCAGGCTGGACCTGGTTGGGCATGATGAGGCCTACATCGATGGACTTCTTGGCAGGTGTAAGGTCCTTGCCCTTGTTAGGAGGACCGACCCAGTTGCCAGCCTTGCACTGCGCACCAATGTCGGTACACTTGTCCTGCCAGAGCTTGCAGTTCTTGCCACCAGTTGGGGGTGCGGAGTCGTAGCATACATCGCTCTGAGCCCAGCAGTCCTCAGCGGCAGCCCAGCATCCCTTCTCGTCGGTGTAGGATTGGACCTCCTTGGCACACCAGTTTGCGTTCTCCATGACGCAGCCCTGGGGCTTGAGGCCCTTGGTTTGGACAGTGGCGGAAGACTTGCTCGCGCCAGCAGTGAGCTTGGCGACCTTGGGGCCGGGCACAACGTACTCGGTAGCAGGAGTGTTGTAGATGTCAAAGTCGGTCGAGGGCTCGTTGTACTTGACGTATCCGGGGATAGACACAGTGGACTCGGGAACGAGGTTTCCGGAGCTCTTGAGGAAGATTTGGGCACAGCCAGTGTAGAACTGTGGGTCACCGTCTTTGGCGGCATGGAGAGCAAGAATCTCGGGACGAGCGAGGTAGTCGCCTTGCAGAAGGTTCTCGGGAAGTGTGACAGAAAGAAGACCATTGTTAGCAATGATCTTGTCAGTGCACCATTGCTTAGAGTCAGCGTCATAGCCGTGGTCAAAGATCTTGAACCAGCCATCACCAGCAGCAGTGTCAGTGGTAGCGTCCTCGACCTTCTTCAGGTAGACAGCGCAAGGACCCTTGTGGCCGGGATCAAGGCGCTCCTTGGATGGGTCATCGGGCCACTCGCGAATCTCAAAAGTAAGAACGGAACCGTCCTGGACAGTCTGGGTGCGCGAGACTCCTTTGGTACCCTGAACATCTGTCAAGTTTGGTCAGTCATGATGCGCTAAGGGAGCACCAAGATAAAGGGGACATACTGCAAGCCATGTCAGTGCTATCAAGGCTGCCAATAGGGGAGCTAGTGTGCTCTCCTGAAGGGTTCATGCGAATAGCAACACCATCACCCTGACAATTGTTAGTCCAAGTCGCATAGAAAGCAAGTAACACCATATACCTGAGGCACGCCATCAACGTAGAAGTCAGTAAAGACAGTGTGGGCAAGGGCAGCGGGGGCCGAGGCCAGGGCCGCGAGAAGGATAGATTGGGTCTTCATGGTATTCGATCTTCAACAGTTGACTTGAAGGGCAGAAAACAACGTGGTTTTTTTTTTGGTAGTGACGACTGGAACCGAAGTTGTAAGGGTTTTTGGTCACTAGGACTCAAGGTAATGAATGAATATGCCGAGCTAGCGACAAGGGAAGGAATGAAACAGGCCACAAAGAGCCTTTGAAAAGAGAGACAGACAACAAGTTGGGATTCTGAGTCCTTGTGGGGGTGAGGAAAGAAAGAGTCGGGGATGACGGGGCCTTTCTACTCCTTCCATCACACCCGCCGCTGAGCCTAGGCCGGGTGATGGACATGGGCGGATGAGTGATTTCCACCCGGTTGCTACCTGCGGGCGGCGCATGCCTTGGCGCCCTTGGAGGCCCTGCGACACACGTCTGCCGGGCGTTGCAGCGGAGTGTTATTATTTTCCTTTAGGAGAGACGCTTGGTTGCGCAGGCTGCAGTCAGCCTCGAGCCCTGTCGGCCACTTAGCGGAGAGACGAGGTTGTGCTTCTGAAACATGAAACACAAACGAAGAGTGTTAGCGAGCGGCCTAGTCTACATTCCGCAATGGTTTGCCCGCTAGGTGGCGTCCTTGCAGACGACGCCAAGTCAGGTACCAGGCCTCTCATTTCAACTCTCGAGCGCCATCGCCCCTCGTACATGCTCATCGCCGGCCCCAAGGCGTGTCCAGGCGCCGCTTGTATAACGTCAGGAGCGGGGGGGCGGTTATCGATATGGAGCGGCTGTGTTCTCGAGCCGCGCAGATCCAGCCCCCAGGGCGCGCGCTAGGGACTTCAGGTCGCTGTCGACTTTTTTTTATTTTGGTTCAGGAGGTCTCGTTATATTAACGTGGCGCTTGCAGAAGGGGAGCCCACATCATCGCTGCTCAGGCCGACTCTCATTTCGCCAGTCCTCCTCCCATCGCAAAGATCCGTCTGTGACGCTAACAGAGAGGCCCGTCCTCAAATTGATTGCTACCCCCGCTTCCGACGGCCGTCATGGAGGCCAAATTTGCGCCTCCTCCTTTGCTCGATCGAAAAGTAATGACATCGCCAATTCCCTCCTGAGTCCTTGGGCGCAAACAACGATAATCATGGTTTCATCTCCTTCTACAACATGCGCCTCCAGCTTCCGGGCAACCGCTTTGTTCGTTTTCTTTTCCCATATGCATGCAGGGGTTGGCGCTCGTACTTCCCTTCGCCCTGAGCCGTGGCGCCGTATTGACTAAAACGCTCGTCATCGCGGACCGTTGGGGAACGACGGATGCAAACGTTGATTCTTCTAGCAGCCCCTTCAATATCCCATCTTCGCATGTGGAACCTGACATGATGTCGATTGCTCGTAACACCCCACCGCACCACTTATTCCCAACACCAAAATAACTCGACCTTCCGGTTTCCCGAGCCGCCGAGCATTCGGGTAATCGCCCAAACGTGGTTACGCTCCAAAACGGGTCTCGCCGCTGCAAAATCTCCAGATGTAAGCTACGCAAATGAATCCGAACCTGTGCCACAATCATAAAACAGCAAATTCGGCCATATAACACGTGGTTTCCTACTGCACCTATACCGTACTCAGAAAAAGATTACATTAACTCGGAAAGAGTAAATGACTTGACTACTCAGCCATACATGGGTGGCTTGTACAGTGATGTGTGGGGCGCCTGCTGATATCCATTGGAGACGCCGAGAGCTATGCTGGGAACAGGCTTTGGCAGACTGTTCTCTTCTTCCTCTGCTCTGTCTAGCACACCTTTGATAATTTCCCTAAAGTCCGCTGCGCTGCGGAACTTCGGCGGTATCTCACCGTACACGCTGGGCTTCGCAACCCTTCGAGTGGCCCACTTCACATCTGTCACCTTGATCCCATATACGTCCCGAAATGATAATTTGCAAAAGCGTATCTCCACCCCTTCCGAGAAGGCCACGCCTTCACGTTGTTGGTTGAGACAACACACTATCGCTGGTTCATAGCAATGGTGTGCATACGTAATCCCCATCTCGCTGAGGCCTCGTTCAACAGCACTAATCAGCCACCGACTGCCTCTTTTGGTAAGAAAGTGCAGCTTTTTGGAGTCGCCCAGTGAGTTGGTAGGTAATTGACGATCGTAGAGAGATCTAGACTGATGACCTGCAACCCGCACAGTGTTCATGTAGCGGTCTAGCTGCACAGCGTCTGTAGGATGGAAAAGTGGATCCCATGGAAGTGGCCAGGTGCTGAGGGATATCAGGGGTCCCACGAGAAACCCTTCGGACAATCTAAGTTCGTATCTCGGTCGAGGCTCGAGATTGAATGTTGGTCGTCCCAAGCATATCACTGGGATTGGTGTGGTGCTGGTAGATTTGACCAATTCGTACGCACTCTTCTTGACATTCATCATCAACTTGTTCTTCTCCACAACATTTGCCGATGGAAAGATACTCGTCGGGTCAAGGTTAAGGTTGAGAGTGGCCTCGATGCGCCTGAACCCGAACAGCCAGTGATCGATGAGTATTATCTCAGTCGCCACTCGTCGGGCACGTTCACTGGTCGCTCCATAGCGGCCCACGGATCCTTCGTAAGCAACACTGTAGGCGAGCATGGCGTTTGCGTGTTCTTGAGTATGTAAACAAATGTCTCCCAGCCATCGCGCAGCAGCTATGTCGCCATCATCTAGATTCTGGAAATCGAGAAAAGCCCCATTAAAGACACTTTCAAAGAGCTCCTTTGCCTTTGAAAACTTTCCTGTGAATGATGCGCATACTCCGAGCAGATGCTTGAGAATGCGACGATCAGGTTGAGTACCAGATATACACCTCTGTCCGCGGTCGACAGCTGCTAACTGATCTTCTAGGTGCTTTTCTGCACTGACAAAGTCGTGGCGAGCCCATGCAGCCACCACCTGATGAGCCGTCCAGTTGAGATCTATCGTAATAGATGTGCCTTTCTCGAAATATGATGGGGGCAAGTCGTTTTCCAGTGGAGGAGCAGGAATAGAGGGTGTTTGTGTTCCAGAACCAGACGATGATGTAAATAGCGTTGGGTCAGGACCGTCTGTATTCGTCGCCGAGAGCAACCCGCTTGAACGGGGAACTGGCACACGTGGAATTGGAAAGGTATTGGATCGAGCAGAGGGGGTGGTGACCGCTGAGCGATGTGGCCCTGCATACAGCGAAGAATCATCTGAATCAGTGTCCAGTGGCATGTTTGGTAACGATACAGCAGAGTGCGCTTGTGAAGCCACCGAAAGAGTTGAGCCTATGTGGACCTGTGGTATCGGTGGGCGGGGTATGGGAGGAGGCGTTCGTGATGGTGGTGACCAACTGCTCTCCATAGGCGTGACGATTGTAGGCATGTCCAGGCCACTAGATGATTCTCCAACATTAATTTCAGGAAGTACCGGCCTGAGATCTTGGGACAATGAGGAGTACGGCTCATGCTCCGGTCGATCCTCGAGAAGCCTCCCTTCATTCACCGCAGCGACGAGCCAGTCTACAATGACATCGCGATAGCCCAAAGCTTGCTGCTGAGAGATGCCGACATCTTCCAAATCGCGTATGATCTGGCGCCATGCCTCGTCGTCATCCTCATCGTCGTCTTCCCGGGCGCCAGAAGTGAGTCGCTCAATCGAACTAATGCTTTCTTCGCGATGCCCGCCTCTATAGTCCTTTTCCAGTCTCTCCAAGGCCTCCAGTATCAGGACCTGGACATCGTGTATCAGGGAGGTGTAGAAGGTGTTGAGCATCGCCACGCTCGCAACAAGCCGCTCGCGCAAGTTTCGCAAAGTGCTTGGATCGAATTTAAGACGGTCCCACGCACGCTTGCTCTTTGTGTCGAGCCCATTGTAGTGCAACAGAATCTTGTCGAGCTCTTCCAAGACCTCGATGCATGGCGTATACGCCTCGATAAGCTGCTGCTGCTTACTCTCCGGTATCTTGTCGAACTTGTCTTGTATGTCGTCGAGCAGATTAGTGAGACTGCGTGTTTCACTTGTCAAAGTCTTGTACTCTCCAGGACAGTCACGACCTGCGTTTCAATCAGCATACTACAAGTTTGCGGAGCTGTCAAACAACTGACAGTTCTTGTATACCCTCCCCGCTAGTTCGCACACCTTGAGTATGTCTCCGAGACCGACGCCAAAGCTCATTGTGCTAGCTTGTGGAATGCGTCCACGACGTGCCTGGGGAGCAAATGAAGCGCCGCATCATTGAACGCATCGCGAGGTACAGCTGGGTGGTTAAATCATGGACGGGGCTGGAAGGCTTGTCATTGTGGCTTGAAACGGAGGATTTGATTGGAATAGGGGGCGGAAAGAGCTCAGGTCGCCCAATATTGTGTGATCACACGCATGCATGTGACCAAGCTGCAATGAGAAAACGTGTTGTGTAGCCCCATTGCGACGCATATTTTACACCGTCTTAGTCTCGTCAATGTCGTGGACATTTGATGCCAGAGCGCCTGTGTATATCACAGCGGAGCGGAGTACAGTGCGACCCACAGCTACCTGGATTGTCACACATTCACGACAGTTGCAGCTTATCTAAGCAAAGCTTCGCCTCGGAGCACAACCATTTACTGGACGATATCCTAGTAGCGCTACTTCAGACTAACTGAAGGTTGCACGCCAAAGCGGCATTGCTGACATTGGGGGCGATAACCAGGTTGCACCATTCGTGCAGCGCGGTAAGCCACTAGATACGGTTCAGCCTTGTGCCCGTCAATCTTTGAAGGAACCTTCACCACGTGCCCGTAGTGTCTAGAGCACAGATAGATTATACTATGCGAGTTTTCGGCGGAACACTCATTCGGCCACTCGCATTCCTTTCACGCATACATCTACCCGACCCAGCCAACAGCGAAAACAACAAGACAAAGCAACGTATAATCTATTCATTCGTGTACAAATTCCTCACTTTGTTCGTCCCCTTGTCTTTTTTTTCCCGAAAAGAAATCGCTGAAATAGTAGAAAAATAACTTGCTATACATCAGAACGAAGAAAACAAAACAAACGGGGTGTATCCTCGCTAGATATACGGACAATCGAAAAAATCAACGCGAGAAATTCCAACAGCTCCTCCAGTGAGCAAAAGCCCATGAGGCGCGATTGTCAAAAGAGTATACACGTGATGCCATCCATGATGGAAACACATTATTGGTACCAACTCTGCTCATCGTAGGTGAATCCCTGCAAGCCCGCGCCGTTGAGCCCCATAGCCCCGAACCCGTTTCCATTGGAGTTATTGCCATTTCCGTTGAACCTCCCGTTGGGATATCCATTAGTAGCGGCTATGACGCTATCATCACCGCCACCACCACCCACCGGACCACCGTTAATCTCATTGCCGGTCATAGGAGCAACATTAGTCGTAGGCTGGAAGACACCTGTAGGATTGGCTGTGCTTGCAAACCAACTCGCAATATCATCTACTCCTTGGGGGTTCCAATTTTCGAAATCAGTTGCAAGTTGTGTTTGATCGCGGTAGATCCAATCCTGCCCTTCGCGTAGAAGCTGATCAACACCACCAAAGAGCTGGCTTGGCGAGTTCCCAGCAGTGGTGTGGCCGCCGTCGACGGATCGGCGTCCTTGTGTCGAGGCTGGAGTAGGAGCGTTTAGGGTAGCCGAGTAACTCTGAGGTGTAGTAGGGTGTTGCTGAGTGCGCATGTAAGCCAGAGCGTTTGGGTCCGAGGGAGGTAGAGAGTGGGTGCTAGAAGGACGGGCAGAAGGGTTAGAGCTTACGGAGCTATTGTTTGCCAGGGCTGTTCGGTTATACAGTTGCGGTGCTGTCATATTGGCCATGTTCATGCTGTATGGTTGGAGACTCGGTGAAGCTTGATCTGCTGGCGAGGGATGCTGGTTGGTCTGTACAGACGCGCGGCGCTGTGCTTTTGGAGTGCTGACCTCATTCCAGGGACCAAACTTGGCATCAGTACGGGAGAGCACTGTGGCAGCTTCTTCTGGTAGCTCGACATTCCAGCGCTTTGCCAGTACGCTGAGGATCCCAAGTGTTCGTCGAGCGCACAGCCATCCCTCTGCTATCTCCTCCAGATGCTTGACGCCATGGATGATGTCGCGCTTCGCGTTCTTCTCGGGTAGATTGAGAAGATGTATTGTGCAAGCAGAGTGCGCAATGTATACGCAGATGTTGCATATCTGCCGCAGGCCATGCGATCGCTTGTATAACCGTAGTAGTTTGGAAATCATGGCAGCAGCCTGGGTACAGAGCTTTCGGGGAGAGACATGGGCAGGAAGTGGTGAATTGTTTGGGTTGTATTTTAGGAACGGACGAAAGAGATGGATGTAAAGCAACTGAAAGAACATGCTACACAGTCATTAGTACAAGTTGATAGCGACGGTGGATAGTACTTACTGCATGACAAGCATATGGGGCAAGCCACCCTCTTTCGGTTCTAGTTCTTTCGGGAGCTCCCGTCTCCACGTCTCCAACCTCATGTGTATCTCACTAAGCTTTTTCAGCTCAGCCTGCCTTCCCTTGGCCTTGTCCATGTCAATGGGGTTGTAGAAAGCATTCATCAAGTCGCTAGAAATCTCGCAGAGCTTTGAAATTTGGAGAGCAACTGCACGCGTCCTACTGGGCTGCGAATGTGCTTGACTTAGGCCAGAGTCTGTGACTGCGCTCCATGTCTCTGCATCCTCAACAGGGAAGACATCGAATTTGGGTACTGTGAGAATCGTGTTGGGTAATTGGGGTAATCTCCCGAGGTAGTTGCTCCAACACTTGTCGAACAAGAAGCAGCCCCAGAATGTGATCCTTCGTGCATCCTCCTCGTTCTCATCGATGACATCCTTGCTATGCATGCCCAGATTGAGGCCGAGGTCGCATGCCATCCGGAAGGACATGCCGCTGTATACCCAGCCCTTTGCTTCCCGTCCACAACCAGCTTCGCGTACGGACATCAAGGCCAGAGCCTGCACTGTCGTTAATGCTGGGACCTCGTGCAAATCATCCTCCATAATCAACCGCTTGGCCTCCCTGAAGAAGTGGTCGCCAGCCGTTGCTGAATCATCCCGTATGGCTCTGGCAGCAGGCCATGATGTGAAGTGACATCCGAGTGCCAACATGGCATTGACCAGCAAAGGTGAGCAGTACTGATTCTTCCTTCCAGATCCGGGTAGCGGTTTGCCAAGCCTAAATTCCTGCAAGAACAAATTCTTAGATAGAGTTGTAAAGAAGCTGTAGTGCCAGCAAAAATACATGCTGATCAGATGTTGCACCAGCTCCGGGTCCGAGGTCACGGTGGTCCATGAGCAAAATGGGTCCTGTGTCTCTTGGAACTGGTCGTCCGAATACGTGTCGGGCGAATCGACGGTGTCGTTGCCCTTCCCCAAGTAGATGAGATGCGACGTTCCGCCAATGTATCTTGTAGAACCATCCTCGAGCCGCAGCTCGCCCATCTTGCCGCTTAACTGGCTCTCGAAGCTTCCCTCTGGAAGTGCCGCCGCGGGCGGTGCGATTGGACTCAAGGGCTCATCGTCATCCTCTTCTCCATTCTCCTTGGCGATGATCGCCTCAGCGACCGAGTCGAGGCTCTCACATGTCCGGATCTGCTGGACCAAGTCCGCAACCGCGTCCTCGGGATAGTTAAGAATGGCCTGGATGAGGGTCTGGAGGGTTGAGTTGCGCGTTTTGAGGTTGTCAATGTCCTTTTTGTAGACACCCTTGCGGCGGTGGTCCGAGTTCGGATCGTAGATGCATGGCGTGTTGTAAACGGCGGCACAGGCCGAGCAGGCTGGTGTGGTGCCGTCGCACTGTTCCTCGGATTAGCGCACGGCTGGTGACAGGAGGCGTGAGAGCGACAAGGTTGGTGGGCAGGCGGAGAAGGAGTGTAGAGGCCGGAGAAAGGCATTCGAGCAGAGCAGTTCCCGTTACCTAAGACGACGTACGTACCTTGGACTTGCGCTTCCTGCAGGGCACACAGGCGGAAGAAATGCACCTCCTCTTCTTCGAGTCGTCGCTCCCGGCGTCCCGTTTCCCTCGTCGTCCCTTCTTGGCGGGCGTATCCGTGGTCGGTGGTTGCGCTTCCGCCGTGCTGGTGTTCTCCATTACAGTTCTTGGGAGGTTTCCCGGAGATGCAAGATGCGGGGGGAATGGTGGGGCGCACGCTCCGATGGGCCCTTCAGTCAGCGCGCGACATTAATCAGCGGCCCGCGAAAAGCTGTGGGCTTGCCGTCCTCCACGCCTCTGTAAGTATTGCGCCCTCACCATGGCCGGCCAAGCAGGGGCGAGCAGTATGCGCGTGCAATCGATAGCACAGGTATCGCATTGGGGCGGGGAAGACGCGACGCCTGCCTTCGCCAAGCGCCATCGCTATCATCCCTCGTCTGATTGGCCGCCTCTCGCCTCTTATCTACACCTCTCCCTCTGCACCCGCGCCCATCACACTAACACGTCCATACCTGCAGGAAGCGTCTGAGAAAAAGGATAATGACGTGCCATGGCACGGCTGCTGCGAAGGCTTTTGGATGGAATCAAACTTTTGTTGGCGCCTATCTCCCAGAGAAACCCCAACTGCTGATAGGGCAGCTTGAAAGTTTGTAGGCAAAAAAGCAAGTCCCTTCCATCAACCAGGCTCCCACACCACCCATGAAACTCAAGATCCATTCACGATCCAGACCCCTACGCCATTCTCCAAAACCACTCCTCCGCCCTCCAGGACTTGTCCCCATAACCGCCAAGCCTACTCTTACAGCAGCTGCAAGTCCTCCATTTCATCATCCGCCATGGTAGACACATCGTCGTCAACTCCCTCCCCTATTTCCCCCACAAACATCTCTATCAGCTTGCGGATATTTATTCTGCGACCTTGTTAGTCTGGAAATACCCACAGCAGACAAAACGTACCCTTGCACCGGCCTACCCCCTTCTTTCATCACCCTTTCAAGCTCCTTCTCTTTGCGCTCTTGAATCTCGATGATCCTGTTATCAATTGTGTTCTGGACACAAAGGCGGCTCATAAATGTCTTTTCTTTCTGACCAATGCGGAATACGCGACAGAAAGCTTGCTGCTCGGCGCCAGAGTTCCACCAAGGATCAATAAAGATAACTTTAGAAGCCATAGTCAGGTTAAGACCCACTGCAAGATCATTAGTATATAATTGTGGCATAGAAGCTGCCACAGGTACTAGCACTTACAGCCACCACATTGCATGCTTGCCAGCATGATCCTCACGTCATCTTCTTTGCGGCCAAATGATTGAATGGCGTTGTTGCGAGCCGTGAGGCTCATCTTGCCGTGGTACTACATTGGTGATTAGCGGTTTGAACTCCCAGCGCACTCAGAAACAGTTTCCATGGCGTTCCCTAGCAACCGTGAACATATTACTGGGACATGCTAGATAGCAACTTACCTGAATGGCATTCCAGCCTTCTTTCTGACAAACACGTCTCAAAATTTGAATCCTGTAGATCTTTAGCATATATACACAGGATGTGAATCGAACTTACATAGCAAGAAATTGGGTGTAGACGATGATCTTAACTTTTGGGTTCTCCTTGATCCAGTTCATAATCTGTGACTTGACTGCGATTGTTTTCGCGGAAGGTAGGACATCGTCGTCCAGCGAAGCAAGCCAGTCGTGCGCAATGTCTTCACGGTCGATGCGCTTGCGCCCCTTGTTTTTCTTCTTCTTGCCATTCGATCGCGTACCAGATGCAGGGATGTCTTGAGGATCAGTTTCCATGTCGCATGCAATGATAGATGTAGGTATGACACCACAGGTTTTGCAAACTGGATTCTCCTCCCCCTGTTCAGCCGCCTCAACACATGCCTCTGAGTAACAGGGCTCAGCGCAAATCAGATGCCCACAGGATGTGAGCATAGGCTGTTGTGGTTTTTTTCCGCAGGCGCTGCACTTGGCTGTTTTCTTAGCTCTTTCCCAGCTCTTTCCTGTTTGGAGACTGCTAAGAAAGGGCCCAAAGTTGTAGTCTTTGCCAAAATTCCCACCCGCCTCGAAACGATCATATAACTTTGGCTCCTCTTCTTCGTCTTCTTCTTCATCTTCCTCCTCCTCGTCAGTGACACTATTTTGATCTTGGCCTTTGCCTTCTTTGTTCGCTTTCAAATCATCGCATTTCTTTTTCTTTTCCTCGTCTGCTATCTTTTGGAGCTGCTTTCGAACTGCGATGATTGTGCTCCTAGATTGAGTATTACTATCCACTGTATGTTGATGAAGCACCTGTTTAATGTGCTCAATATCTTCCAGCTCAAGGAGGTCTCGAATAACAAATTGAAGCATGAGAATATGGGCTGTCAGTTGGCGGAGTCTTAGAAACATCCTGTATCAGTTAGTAACTCTAATAGCTGAATTTCAAAAGTATCAGCACGTACACATAGATGTTATAATAGGACTTTTTCAAGCCCTTATTCTTTATTATGGTCTGTGTCCGTTTAATAAAGCGACTGTGGACAATTTCGTAAATGCAGCGTTCAACCGGATTGAACTTACACCAGTACGTGGCTTGATGAGCCTGAGGCAGCTTGACAATGGGAGCTCCCATGATCGTATTTGCATGAGTGCGACGGATCATGAATTGAGAGAGTCTCACTAAAAGTCTCTCTTGACTATTTGGTTTGCAGTAGTCATCCTTGAAGTCTTCGAAGCTGCCTGTAAGTGGAACGCCAAGGAATTTGAAGTAAGGGTAGAGCTCAGTCAAGCTGTTGAGGATAGGAGTTCCACTCAAAGTCCACTTGTGATCAGCCTGTAGCGCACGACAGGCAATTGATGTGCGCGACATATGGTTCTTGATAGCATGTGCCTCATCCAGGACTATGCGTAAGAAATGTACGCGGTGCAGGGCGCCTCGTTGCTCCCAAGTTTCCTGCCACCATGCCTTCTCCTGGTCTTCGGTCTCACAACTTTCCGGAGGTTCCGTTTTTGGGTGAGATAACATCACCTCGTTGTACGTGGTAAGGACGATGTCATGACCTTTTAGGATTTCCGAGGAAGCGTTAAAGCTATCACGTGTTCCAGCCCCGTACCGCATAATTTTCAGTTCGGTTGAGCTGTGTTTTTCAATTTCGCTCTTCCATTGAGTGAGAAGTGCGGGACTAGCAACAATGAGGGTAGTCCTGGGGCGACCGCTACCCTTTGGTGGTCGACCGTCATGGATATTCGCTGTGAAAAGTTAATACAGCCACTATGCTTTCCTTTCTGCCGATCACTTACCCAACGTCATAAGCGTTTTACCAAGTCCCATTTGATCCGCCAGTATACCCCCCCTTGGCTCTTCAGTGGCATTTTCTCGTTGGCGCATAAATCCAGTGCCAAGGACCTGATACGCCTTCAATGTTGTCTTCATGCCTTTGACTGACCATAGACCGCTCTTGGCATCAGGTTTGACTGCATTCCTGCTAAATTGTCTTGTTGCTTTCATCAAAATGGTTGCGTCACTTCTTGCCTGCTTCTCATCTTCAATAGGCACACTGGCAACAAGTTCTTTCAGCGCCTGTATCTTGGTCCTCGACGTGAAGAATGGTTGCTCCGGTGCATCTGGAGCAGCTTGTTCAGTAAAAACATTTGAATAGAGAAGAGATGTGGCTTTTTGGGCCCCATCATCAATCAACTTTTGTTTCTTGTTGGAGCGTTTACCACTTTTGGTGATTTTACCAAGAGTGACATCTGCTCTTCCGCCTACCGTCTTCCTTTTCCGCTTTCTTTTTGGATTGTCATTCATAGCATCTATTGCAGTCATCATACTCTGGAGTTCTGTATCTTGCATACAAACTTCCTTGCGAGTGCGAGGTTGAACAAAGTCGGTATCAGATAGCTCGTCTTCCTCAACATCTTGCTCAATATCAAACATGCGGGGTACAGCTGGGTCGATAGAATCGTCTTCTATAGCCTTGGCAATATCACGCGCTCGTTTTTTCCTTCTGGCTGTTTCGGCGAGTTGTAACTTTAACTGTTCGATTTCGAGCCTGAAAGGAAGGCTTCCATTATTGGCCTTCTTGACGTTATCATAGTATCGCATTTTCTCCTCAAATATTTCTGCTGCTCTTATGTCTGCTTTATCATCATCGTCAGGATGACAGGATTCAGTGGGTGCAATGGTGTGAGGTAAGTTTGGCCCTGTTTGGATAGCCGTTGGTCTCTTCTTGTCTTTTAATTTTTGTTGCCTGCTGCGTATTCTATCACGTAACTGGGCGGTGGATGTAGGCGCTGGAAACCCTAGATTTTGAGGCGCAATCGTGTCGTCTGAAGAAGGATGTGGATGTGAGGTACCCGATGGAGTGGCATCGCTTTCTGGGGTGGGAAATGGGTCGGAGTTGCTTGATGGAGCGGAGTCGGTTTCTGGTATGAACAATGATTGGGAGGCGCTCGCTGCAGTAGGGTCACTCTCTGAGACAACCGATGGACTAGAGTTTCTCAGTGGAGTGGGTTCAATTTCTGGGATGAACAACGAATCGGGATCGTCGGGTTGGATAGGATCGCTTTCTGGACCGAGCAATGAGTTGGACTCGTGCTGGACATGTTCTTCTACATGAGATGGAGGTGTACCGATCTCGTGCTGAACATGGTCATTATAGTCGATCATGGCCTCGTCGCTAACTTGGGCGGTTTCTGGAACTGGGGCTTGCATATCCGTCATATCGCTGTCATCATTGGCCTTGCTGGGTTCACCCATAATGACTTAAGCTGTCAGTTTTGGTGAAGCGACAATGTACGAGCGTGAGATGGGTGTTTCAATGATACATACCGCTATGTGGGTGGGATGTGAATACGGGTGGTGATGGAACAGCTCTCACAGATTGGAGTGCGCACAATGACGGCTGGTAAGTAGGGCAGAGTAATTTGTAATTGTGAACTGGGCACGATGGGGATATGTGTAAGGATTGATGGAAGTAGTCCTGGGAACCAACCAGGCAAGAAAGAAGAGGCGTGGTATGAGAAAGAAGATGTGGAAGTGCTGTGGTGGAGCAGAAGTGATGTAATGTAGTAGAAAAGATGAGTAAGATAGTGTAAGAGAGAAGAAGACTAATCATGTATGGCAAAAGATATACCCAAGCCTAGCATGGAGTAAGTCTGTATACTGCGCAGCTATCGCGGACCCGGAAGCGCCAGGTGAGAGCCCACAAGTGTCTCTACTAGTATCTCCAAGAGAGCAAGTGAGAATTGGGAGGTGAGAAACTTGGGATGGAAACCATAGTATGTAAAGGAATGGTGTAGTATACTCAGCGGCTGTAAGTGAGAGAAAATTTATACGCTGGTATGAGAGAATTGAAGTGAGACATAAGATGCTAAAGTTGATGACGAGATATGATCCTTGATGTTATGTTGTCATGATACCAGTGAGGATGGTGCATTGAATCCATCATGGCAGGCGCGCCCCTCTCTCCCCTACATCACCATGGCCACTACAAAGCTGCAAAGACATTGGACCACAACCGTAGAAATTATGCGTTATATTCATCTCAATTAAGCACTCGCTTTTTGAGGATATCAGGGTATCGAAAGTACTATTGACATGACAACTGTAATCCCTGTACGTACTGCAAGTAGAAAAATAAAACTCCCTGATCGCCGCCTTTAATCTAACTCCCGCGTAATAAGTATATGACGAAGAAAAGAAAGATGAAGCATATTAAACAAAAAGGATCTAGCACTGCTCCTCATCGAGGTTGGGGTAGAACCAGGCTGCAAGAGCAATAATGACATAGCTCGCCATGAGTAAAATGCCTTCAAGCCAATCTGTATCTGGTTAGCAGAATGTCCAAGTTGCATATTGGATAGTATAAACTTACGTGACTTTCCGTCTTGGATGAGGTAGTTTACAAGCAACACTGAGACGAACAATGTAGCGATCTGGAAAGTGTCGAAGTAAAGCGTCATGCAGTCCTTGCCCAAGATCCATCCAAGAATGACGATCAGAGGGAAAACAAGAAGCGCAATCTGCATGCTGGAACCGACAGCAACACCAATGGAGAGATCCATCTTATCCTTGATGGCGACGGTGACCGCAGTGGCGTGCTCGGCGGCGTTACCCACAATGGGAAGCAGGATAAGACCAACGAAAGTGGTGGAGACATGACCAGTGGCAGTAAGACCATCGATACTGGAGACCATGAATTCCGAACAGAAAGCAACAAGGGTAGTAGAGATGGCGAGAGTGATGAGAGCCCCAATGACAGAAAGCGATGGCTCTTCGAATTCATCTTCGTCGTCCTCCTCGTCCGAGTTTGGGTTCTTGAAAAGTGTAGTCATGTTGACGCCGCCTCCAGACGCTGCGGCAGTACCAGCACCAATGGCTGCAATGCCGCGCGATGCATCACCTTCTTCCTTCTTGCCGGACTTGCGCTTGGGCACCTTTTGACTGGGCTCGTTGTACATGGTGGAGTGTGTCTTCAACTGGAAAGCGAGGTAGCAAGCGTAGACGAGGAGAAGAATGACGGCAGTTCCGTGAGATAGCTCCTGGTTCCTGACAGCATCTTCGCGGCCGTCGTGTGCGACTGCGTCATCTTCGGCAATTGTGTTGTGGAACACAGTCGGAATGATGAGGGATGCGATACAGAGAGCAAGCAGCGATGCTGCTGTCTGAGCTACAGTCACGTTGAAGAACTGTTCCACGCGGTTGATACCTCCGAGAAAGAAGGACATACCCAAGACAAGCAGCAGGTTGGACAACATACTGCCGATGAGCGAGGTTTTGACAATGGTGATTTCGTTCTTGAGCAGGGCTTGGACGGAGACAATGAGTTCGACAGCATTTCCAAAAGTGGCGTTGAGAAGACCTCCAAGAGTTTCTCCAACTCGAATGGCCAGTTCTTCGGTGGCATTGCTCAGCATGGCGGCGAGTGGGATGATGGCAATGAAGTTGATGATGAAGACGGGCACAGGTTTGAGCCTAGCATAGTACACGGCAAAACCAACGGGTACCATGATGAGGAGGACGTTGATCCAGGCTCCAAACAAGACAAAGCGAATCTGAGCGCCAACGGGAATCTTCCTCTTGAAAGCCTTCTTCTTGCGCTCTTCCAAGGATAGTTCCTCGCCTTCGGGGGAGTCCAAGCCGGTATGATCGTGGTCTTCATGCTCTTTCCTGAATATGCCCTTGAACTTTGCTCTGCGAGTGGGGCCGGCGTTTTGATCCTGGTTGGAGGGCGCAAGAGTGCTATCTACTGAAGGCTTGTGCGCGGTGTCGGCTTCAGTTGCGCCATCCTTGTCAAGCGAAGGATTTGGAACGGCGGCTGAAGCAGTCGCATGTGTTGGTGATGAAGGGGTGGGCTCGGTGTTGTGGTGGTCTGGCATTCCAAACTCTTTCTCTGATTGCATGGTCTCGAGGCGCCTCTGCTCTTCAAATCCCGATGTTGCATTTGCCTCGGATCGTGACCTGTGCATTACGTTTTCCACATCATAATGGGAATCTCGAGAGCGCTGTCGAGCGAATGGGTTGTAATTGTTAGTTCCATTGCTGCCATGTTGCGAGGCAACGCGATGCGCCTGCCTCCGTACGGTGTCTGAATTGGGTATGCGTTAGTGTGGGGATTCGAGTGGTGCTGGGGAGTTGTGCCGATGGTTCGGGCACGGGGCTCCACCTACGCATGGATGCAGATGTACTGTCTTTATATCGGTCGGGGTCAGAGAAGGCGTTGAAAAGCAAGTGTCGATGTGGTGTTTGGGTTTGCGAAACCAAGACGTGGGTGGAGGGAAACGAGAAAGGGAGAAAGGGACCAAGGAGAGATAATAAGTGGCCCTAGGCTTCCCTGCTTTGACGCGAAGGACAGCGCACGCCCGGTCGCGTCAGTGTTGTGGCTGAAGTATAAAGTTGGCGAATAAAGAGCGTGGAATGAATGCTCTAGCCACAGGTCAATTCGGCCGGACTGTCATTTTGCGGGAAGTTGCTGAGGCTGTGTCCGATAGCGCGGGCGAAGTTGCACAACGGCAATCGAGTTGGCGCGAGTACCGACTACGATTATTTGTTACTATGCCAAATGTCGAATGCAATGCGCGAAGCTCAGCGTCATCATGTCTAAGCCTTCCAAGGACCATCCCAAGCTGCCCTTGGCTACGCCTTAAGCCTTGCAGTGTGTCTGGGCAATGACGCAGGGGCGCGGCGCTTATGCACGATCCAAACGCTTAATTGGCTCCTCGGTGACATGGTGCGCTGCCATCATCGTCCCAAGTCCGTTTGTACACACCCACCCTGCAATAAGCCTGGAGAAAGCTTGCTTTTCTTCACCGCAACGCGGCTTCGAAATATCATTCAAACACATCACGATATTGAGTAAAGGAGGGATGCGGGACATGCACCTCCCTACACTAACAACGTTCCACCAATAGGCGAGGGGGCATCCTATGCAATTAATATGCACCGTTTCTATCCAATCTTATGTCTATGACTCTTTATGTATTTTCTGAAACTCTGAAGTGGCGCAAATAGGATCTTCGCTGCAAACATCAAACTGCAGCATGTTTGTTTCCTGAACCTCTTCTTACACTGCCAAACTATATCTGGACCAGTGGTTTGAAACGCACACCTACCGGTTTACGGTTAGAACTAACATCTTCTACTGAGTGCTGAGGTGCATCCTATAGTATCGTTTACATTGATATGAACTTTTAAAAAAAGACTGAGCTCTAGCTTCTCTCTCCAACCCCTCTGTGCCACTTGACCGCCTCTAGTCCAATACACGTTATTCCAAAACCCACATAATGTAGTGTACCCTACATACGCACACGGGCACCGCCCCCGCACCGCCCCATGCCCGCACTACCCCAGGATCACCACTACCTCTATCCTTTTGAAACCTTAATTCCAAACCCGTTCCATTGCCAAAACTTCCTTGACAATCCCCCCTCCCCGTACATATTCTTTGTTTTTTGAACGCACCTACCCAAACGGGCAATTCGAATCAAAAGCCATAGATTGCGGCGGGCTCAGAGCACAAAATATGCCGGCCCGGCCTCGTGGTATTGGCTGCCTGCAGTCGCCGAGGGGATGCCGCGCCTACGTACGTGGCTGGACTACGGCGAGGTGACGTTTAATTCGCTGTCCCTTGGACCACTCTCGCCTACCATTTAGCCTATCATCCTACACCCATACATCTATCCATATGCATTCATGTATTTATCTACAAACTGTTGGTGTTTCCCGTGGTGCAACTGAATGTACATAAATAGGTAGCTCGTGCGGGTATATGCGCCATGATGTACAAGCCCAATCCGGAAACAGAATATCGGTTGCAAGGGTCCTAGGCTAAAACTATCAACACACTTGGTGCAAACGATGAAAATATTTGCCTTATTTGATCAATGCAATGGCTAATTCGTTTCATACAAGTCTCTGCTAGCAATACTCTAGGTGTACAATACTATCCGTTCCATCTCAGCGCCCTGTTCACATCCCGTGTTCCTCTATGCGCTAGCACGCTTCATGTCTCTTGAAACACGATGCTGCAACACCTGTTCACCCTACTGGTCCTGTATCTTGTGGTCGCCCTTGACGGCATCTGCATATGTCGGAGGTGGACCCTCGGGCTGACTTGAGCTTCCCTCGCCACCTCCATTTGCCGGCGCAGGCGCAGCAGGTCCGCTGCCATTTGCGCTCTTGTGTCCTTGTGGCGGTGCAAAGCTGTTTGTCACGCCGCTCTGCTGTCCTGGGAACTGTCCATTGCTCGGCTGAGATGCCACAGTACCATAGTTCGCAGGTCTGCCACCCGCTTGTTCGTGCGAAATCACATAGTATGTCACCCTTCCGTCGGCGGTCCTTCCATTTTCGCGATCGGGCACGGCCTGGTATGCGTCGTATGGGTCTGGATTCTGCAGAATCACATACCAGGCGTGGAGGAGACCGGGGAGGAAGCCTAGGCACGAGAGGCCGAGGTTTATGAGCGAATCGGCGCTACAAATGCCCTTCTTCACCCAGACACCTATCGGTGGGAACTGTGGGTTATGTTAGCTATCAAGCGACACGAGCTGCAGAGAGAGAGAGAGAGAGTCGGTGCCTGCCTCCGCCGTACGGGAGCTGCAAACGTACCAGGACGCTGAGGAGCATCAGGAAACAATCGGAGCCACACATGATTTTAGTTTTGGGTATCGAATAATTGTGGTATGAGTATAGGCAGCGGTTTTCGGCGTAATGAAGTAGATGTCAAGGTGGAAGAGTGTCGCCTGAGCGGGCGATGCGAACCAGTGGATCAGATGACGCACCCGGTGGCTTAGATGTGGCTTAGTTTCACAGATGCACGTGCCTCACCATCGCCTCCAAAGCTGCGCATTGTACCGTTTGTCAGATTGTATTGCTCTACTTGCTTTTCCGTTCATCTCATTCATGTCGGAAAAATGTATTTCCATAAACTTACCAAGTTTTTTGTTCTGTCTGCTACAAACATGTCACTTTAGCATCTCCGCAACTGTATGATTGATAGCCGTGTGACGGAACAGAGAATAGCTTGCAAAATCATCATGGTCATGTCGTCATCCTACTCGCTACACTATTGAAAGCGCTTGAAGGGAAATCGTACCAACAATTTCGCCACAACCGAGGAGGAATACGGCCCTTAGATTCGACACGCGTAGCAAAAGCAGTCATGTGGGGCTACATCGTCAATGCCCAAAGCTGCCTGCAAGCACTTAATCGCTAATTCAAGCGCTACTTGCAGTAGAGGCTAAAAAGCGCTCGTTCTTGCCAAAGTATTAGGCTTTTCATTTGGCGCATTGTTTCTTTGCGCGAACAAGCAGTGCCTAAACAACCTATCGCATATCGATTGAGTAATCGCTGACGCTGGTACACTCCAGGTACGTTTGCTCCGACGTACCGAATACCTGGTCATTGTGCTTGCAAGTGACCACTGCAGTAGAAGCAGATGTCTCAATCATGATATCAAGATACTCGTGCTTGGAAGTGACCGGAGGAGAGGAAATAAATAAAAGAACTGAGACTTGCAAGAAACCAAAAGTCAGGAGATTCGTAGAAAGATTCGTAAGAAGACTAAACGGAACAATCGGTAAACTGGACAAGAATTCTGTGAAACAGAACAAGTGAGTTCAGAGACTGGGCGCTTGAAGCCCAGACCGCCAAATCAAATGAAATCAGAGGTGGATTATTGTGGAAGACAATCATGAAATGAATAACCCTGGAATAAGAAACGACAGTAATAATCATGGTAATAGTAATAATAATGATAATGGTAAAAACAGAAAGTTAACGGACAAGTTCGAGACAACAAATGAAGCGCGAAGAACGCCGGTACCCGTGAACGACCCATTCTGGTGTACACTGTTGATCGATATTTCGGAATAAGATTTCAGTATGAAGCCATGAATCGGGTGGTAGAGAATTGAAAATAAGTCTGCAGAAGAATAAATATGATAGGTGAATGGTCTTGACGTATGAGACAAGGGAAAACGAAGGGCTCTTGTAGATCATGAACAAGGCCGTGGTTGCAGAAACGAAGATAGAAAAAAGGATCCATGGGTGTTAGAAATGGCGTAGAAGGTAAATCAAGGTATGACGAAGAATAATCATGGGGGATGAGGCCCAGGCGCTGGGTTCGTAAATGCGTGCTCACCGACGACTACAAGATTAGTAAGAATTTGCCAGAAACAAGCGAGATGAACCACATTAATGTCAAGAAGCCTTACCTATAAGCGGCATCGACCTGGGAACGCCTCTTCCGCTTGCTGTTGTCGTCTTGCTGGCGCAACTTCTCATGTTCTTGATCAGCATCTTCGTAACTTCTCTTCCTAGAGAATGAGCTGTCGCTTCGATCTAGGGATGGCACAACAGGCGCATCTTGTTGTAACTCATTACACTGGCTTTCAGGCTCAAAATCAGAACCAGCCATGGTCCGATTGCTTCCCTCAGAGCGCGCAGGGCTTTCTCTGGAGTTGTCATAACTGTGGTCATTGCTTTGAGGCGCATTCCAGGAATCATGTCGCTGCTCGGCCAGAGCGGGTGGGGGAGGGGGTGGCTTGGAGCCGGTGCCTGCAGACATAGATCCATATGGACGAGGAGGAGCAGATCTGGGTCCATTGTTACGATAACCACCATACGACTGTGCCCGCTGGGTCGGTTGAGCAGATGGAGGGGCAGCCGATGGCTTTTCGGCAGGTAGCGCTGATTGCCGTAATTCAGATGGAGAGTACGGTACAGGTATCGGTTCATTCGACGGCGGCTTAGGGGCTCCAGTCACGCCCAACTTCGCAAGGATATCCTCTTGACTTCCTTGCAAGGGGGACACCGCCTCCCTTTTCGATGCGCTCGACGTTGAACCTCCGTGAGTCGTACTAAGTGCTTGCTCAAGGTTATCCATAATGTCCCATGTGGCGTCGCGCATCTCCATGTCTCCATCATGCGTTGTCATATCCTCAGATTCGTCAGGGCGATCCCGCTGCGCGATACAGTCTTCTAGTGTGACTAGATTGTTCTGCATATCTTCATCCGTGAAAACAACAAAGACAGGGTCATCTTGGATAGTTTCCCAATCGTCGGTCTGCCTTACGTTGAGGAAGGCTTCATGCGAATTATCGGCCGTGAAGTACATGGACACCGAATCCCCATTGTCGAGCTTCTCAGGTGTGGGCTTCAGTGCGTCTTCTTCAGCCTCGGCAAAAGTAGAGGGCAGTGCACGAGTAACCTGCTTAGCGGGGTGCCAGATGATGACTCCAAGGCTGAGAGCAGGATCGACGGGCTCATTGCTCTTGGGCCAGATCGCGCCATCGAAGTCAAAATCCCAGTCGTCCCATGCCAAGAACAACTGGGGCCTGTCGCTCATACTTCCATCGCTTACAACACTACTGGGCTGAACAGGTTGCTGCGGAGGCTGTGAAGTGGTGAGGTGGGCGGTTGCTGGGGTGGGTGTGGCTTCAGGATCCAACACAGGCTGGCCGTGGGTTTGTCCACTGAAGGAACCATGTTGATTTGACTGATAAGGTGCTTGCGCATATTGTTGTGACCATACTCCAGTTTTGCCATAGGGCGGATGACCAGAGTCAACTGTGGCAGGCTGTGATGGGTAACCCTGGTAGTTGCTATGAGAACAAGCATAAGGTTGAGCAGTTGGGTGAACTGAAGTTTGCGAATAGCCTGAACTTGGAGGATAACTTGATTTTGGCCATTGGTAGTTGTTCTGTGTTTGAGGGTACGGCGGTGGAAATCCTGGTGCTTGGTGCGCTTGCTGACCGTAGCTTTGGTTAGGATAGCTTTGGTTTGCAGGAGGTGTTGCATAACTTTGTTGCGGATAGTTTGAAGGTGCCGACGATGGCGGAAGCCCTGGATGCGACGACTTGAATGAGTTGGGGAATTTGTTAGTACCGAATGGACCCTGAGGCTGCGCTGGTCCGCGATAGCCCGGTGGAGGGGGATATCGGGTGATTATTGGATTACCCTTCTTCTTTGGTGGCCTGAAAGGGAGTCAGAACAAATGACGCACACCATAAAAAGACAGATTCGACGAGCACGTGATGAACAGCTTGCTAAGATCGGGAGTGAGACCTACTGCACATGCGGAGCGCGATTAGGGGGGCCATTTGGTGGATAGGAAGCCCCCGATTGATATTGGCCATATCTTGGCTGCTGTCCTGGTTGTTGTCCATACTGATAGGGCGGTTGTTGACCATACGGGGGTGGGCCATTTGCATATGGTTGCTGCTGGAAAGGCGCCGCACCCCCTACGGGCCCGTTCCAAGACATACCACGCTATGTAATCAACCTATGAAAATCCACTATGGGAATGGAGGGATTTTGGTGGAGTAAAAGACTAATGGAGACCGATGAGCCCGTTGGTGGCGGCGTAGGTGGTGATATTAGGGAGAGATTTTAAAGTATAAGGCGCGCGTCCAAATTTTGGACAGGTTGAGCGCACGAGCCAGGACGAAAGAGACGCCCAAGCTTACGGAAGGGCAATCAATTCAGTATCTCCTGGTATGCAATGTTGAGATTTGTAGGATGAACGACGGCAATGTGACGCTGCGGAGGAGCAAGTGAGTGGGCACGGAGAGCGAGACAGGGCCAGTTGCTGGTGCGAGGGAAACCCTTGGAAGTAGGTATTGAGAGCACGATAGCAGGTAAGTGGCGAATTGAGAGTGCCGCAAAGGAGTATCCTCTCAGATCTATAAGGCATAACAAGGAAAGAGAGTTCCGGGCACCAGAGAGCCAAGTGCCTCGTAGGTTCTGAAAAGCACGCTCAGCAGATGTTGCGGAAGAGGGAAGTCTCCGTCGTAGTCACGTTTTTTTATGCGCTCGGGCCACGAAGCGGGATGCCGCCGCACCTTGGACAGGGAACAGGACTAGTTGGCCACCCCCAATATCAAGTTGCTCGCTTTTGCGCCATCGCCTGTGTCGCGCCTCCAGATGGACCTCTGAGGATGATTGTACGCTACAGACATTTGCTAGCGACCAGTATAGACTCCACGCCCTGAACTGAGCCGCGGATGCTGCCACCCTTGTACCCACGCCATCAACACCACCATGCCCGGCCTACCATGTACGTCAGTCACTAGTGATGGTTACCGTGCTCGCCACACCCAGACTAACACTGCGCAGCCAGTGTAGACCTCGATGAATGCATATCTCGGCTTTCCAAGAAGGAACTGCTGGCCGAGCCGGTCATCGAGGCAATATGCGCAAAGACCAAGGAGTTGCTCATGAAGGAGAGTAATGTGGTACACATTCGAGCGCCCGTCACTGTCGTCGGTGACATCCATGGCCAGTTTTTTGACATGATGGAGATATTCAAGATTGGTGGACCATGTCCGGACACAAACTACCTCTTCTTGGGTAAGTCCTGGTCTCTGCCCCTCACAGGGGGGCACGCGACCTCTGGAGACAGAACTGACGCTCAACAGGCGACTACGTCGATCGTGGCCTCTTTTCTGTCGAAACTATATCGCTCCTTGTCTGTCTGAAACTCCGCTATCCGCACCGCGTCCACCTTATCCGTGGCAACCACGAGTCTCGCGGTGTCACCCAGTCCTACGGCTTCTATACCGAATGCTCACGCAAATATGGCAATGCGAATGTCTGGCACTATTTTACCGACATGTTCGACTTTCTCACGCTCTCCGTAGTCATTAATGACCAAATATTCTGCGTGCATGGTGGCTTGTCGCCTTCAATACACTCCATCGATCAGATCAAGATCATCGACCGTTTCCGGGAAATCCCTCATGAAGGGCCCATGGCAGATCTTGTATGGAGCGATCCAGATCCCGAAAGAGACGAGTTCTCCCTCAGTCCTAGAGGAGCAGGCTACACATTTGGCGCTCAGGTGGTCAAAAAGTTCTTGGAAGTCAACTCTATGTCGCATATTCTGCGCGCGCATCAGTTGTGCCAAGAAGGCTACCAGATTCTTTACGACGACAGACTAAGTACTGTTTGGAGTGCACCCAACTACTGCTACCGATGCGGTAACATGGCTAGTGTGCTCGAAGTTAGCGACACGGGTGAACGCTTTTTCAACGTGTTTGATGCCAGTCCGGATAACGATGTCCACCGGGCTGAGCAGCAGCAGCAGCAAGGAAAAGAAGTGACGACGGAGTACTTTCTATGATACCCACTGTACATAGCGGTGCGTTGTTGCTTCAACGCTAACCTTGCATTTATCGGCGTTGGCGATAGACATGACGTTCGGACAAAGACATGTTGGCTATGTACGTTCTAGCGCAGCATGAAATCATCTACAAGCAAAAAAAAATGCGTAACTTCAAACGCCTTGCCATTGCAGTCTGGTGCTCTCGCTTCAACAGCCCAAATATTTTGTCTCAACCCATCGCGCCTCCTCATCGCTACCCAGTCTTGCAACCACAATCCTGATATCTGGAAAGACACTCAAGACCCTGTTCAGTCCAACCTTTCCCGCAGTATAGGTTACAAAGACTATACTGGCTTCTGGTACGCCGTGGTCGACAAGCACTCTGACCGCCATCAGGGCGGCTGCCCCCGTGGAGAATTGGGGGTCGAGGACTAGGACTAGTCCATGCTCAGCAATGTTGGCAGGTAACGCCCGATAATGGAGCTCTGGCTCTCCAGTTCTGTAGTTTGTCTGTATCAGTACTCGTCCGGTCCTGCAATCGGGAATGGTCCGCCGCAAACCCGTCTCGAAAGCACTACCGCCGCGTAGCACCACTACGGCACTGACTTCTGCATTCTTCCTCAACCCCTGATAAGTGGTGTTCTGGGGTGTTGTGACCTCATACGATACAAACGGCAAAAAGTCTACTGCTGTTTCGACGAGCAGTGCAACCATGCGATCGAAGTAGAATACAAAGTCCTCTCTCGACGTTTCAGGGTTCAACAGCAATGTATGCATTCCCCTGACCTGATTCGTCTGCTTGAGTACGATAGCGTTCTCACTCAATGGGCTGTCCTCTGCAATCTTGCCCAGTCGTCTGAGCTCTGACTGATGCTGAACACTCTTACTGTGCAACGTCTGACGAACTTGATTGCTCACCATAGTAATGGCAACCCTGTTCTCGATACCTCTTGGAATAATAAGGTCTGCAATTTCTCGCTGGGGAGCAACATATTTGTAATAGTTGGGCTTGACAAAAGAGAACCACTGCTTGATACAGCCTTCAATGTCGCGGCCTCGTTCTTTCACATCTCGCACAAGACGGCGTGAGAGACACAGATCAGCGTCTGCTTCTGCAAAGATTTTGAGGTCCAAGAGATCGACTATCCGTGGGTCGTGTAGGGCGAATATGCCTTCCAGAATTATGACATGCGGGGAGTAGATTGTTGTGGTTTTGGAGAGGCGTGCGTGCTTCTGGAAGGAGTAGATTGGTACCTCAGCAACCTTGCCATTCTTGATGTCTTTTAGGCGGTCAACGAGAATGTCGAAGTCTATAGCGTCGGGAGAATCAAAATCGAACTCGTTGCGAAATGCTGCCGCTGATTGCTCTGGCGTAAGAGGTTTGTAGAACGAGTCCTACAAGGAGTGTTCCTTAGCTGGGTGGGGCACGTGACCCAATTTACAAGGCTGGAACGAACCATAGATAAGATGACTACCCAAGGCAAGTTCAAGGAGGAGACAATAGCCATTGCCAAAGACGTTTTGCCCGAGCCAGAACTACCAGCTACTCCAATAATACTTGCGTTACCCCATGGCGGTTCGTAGTGCGTTCTTCGGCCTGCTGAAGCCATATCTGAGAATCTTTTATCGTGCTGAACGCCTAGTAGCACCGCGTATCCTTGTTCTACCAAAATCCCACCTCTTGCGGCGAATGCTGGAGATATCAAAAGGGTATGCAGGGTTCTTGAGACGAATGGGTTTCTGCAGTGGGTGGCTCTGACCTTAGTGTCGAGCTTACATAAGGACCCACCGGCACTAGTCTCGCCAAGCGCGCAAGCTCAGTCTTCTTCTTTCACGAAGCTGTGCTCTCAAACTTCCTCTCCACACGCAAAACTTTGCGTGACCGCCAGCACACTCGGCCAACGGTCGGGCAGCTCGTATCATTTACTGATGGACGTCGGTTGAGGCTTGCTGGGCGTCTCGCTTCACCATGGTAAGCTACACTCACACTGCGCCCGTTGTTGCGACCTGTCCCACTCTCTAACCACCCTGCAGAGCTCATCCACAGTTTCCGTGTCGGCGGCAACGCCGACCCAGCATCATCCTTTCCAGAGGAAGGTCGACGATGTCAAACCGTCCAAGACGTAAGTCATCCACCGTTCGCGTCGCTTCCGCTACCTCCTTCGAATGATGATTTCAAAATAAGTTGGGAATCTCTCCGAACCAACATGTGGAGAACATGTTAACTTGTATCTCTGATCTTGTGGTAGCGCTTGCATTGCGCGCTGCTGTATCTGTATCTATGTGGCGCATCAATGCTAACGCTGCTTCTGCAGGGACATCAACTTTGTCATCATGGACTACCTCGTTAGCGAAGGCTATCCTAGAGCTGCCGAAAAGTTTGCAAAAGAAGCGAACATCCAGCTTCCTCTTGAAGAGGAGTCCATCCAATCCCGCGTAGAAATACGTCGGGCTATTCATGCTGGTGATATCGACACTGCTATCACCAAGATCAATGATTTGAACCCTCAGGTATGCGACACTTCCACTTGTACTTCCCACCACCTTGCAGGATTAGATCCAGTTTCATGCACCACGCAGAATCTCTTTGATGATAAGCAAACCTTCAGTCCTCAGTATGATTGCAAGCAACTACATCTACTCGTCTGACGTATTTGTCATTGAACTTTGCTAATGCACCAGCCAGATTTTAGACACAGACCCAGCATTGCACTTCGATCTACTTAGGTTACAGCTTATCGAGCTCATCCGGGTGTGCACATCATCTGCTTCTTCTGATATCACGCCTGCGCTTAGCTTTGCTTCGTCCCAGCTTGCTCCCCGTGCAGCCACAAACCCTGATTTTCTGAGGGATCTTGAGCTTACAATGTCGTTGCTTATATTTCTTCCTGCCGCCCCTGGTACTCTGCAGAGGGAGCTTAGTGAGTTGTTGGAACCGTCGCTCCGTAGAAATGTTGCGAGCAAGGTCAATGAAGCGATACTCACTAGTATGGGGGCTCGCGGAGAATCTCGCATGAGGAGCCTAGTGCGCTTACGGCAATGGGCCGAGACAAAGGCACGGGCAGCCGGAAAGGATCTTCCTCCTTCCCTTCCCCTCGGGTTGCAAGACGCCGACGAGAGGCCGGCCAACGGGCACAACGAGGCTGCTGATGTGATGGTA